TAGCCTGCACTAAAAAAATATAACTCATGGGTATTTTTCATACCCGCGGTCACTTAACTCGTCAAAAATACCAAGTATACAACTGGTCACCCGTGTTGATTCGGATCTTTCATCCTACAACATGGTTGGGGACCAGAGGAACACAAATAGCATGCAACTCACCAATGATGAACTTGTGCCTCTGGGATGACTGCATAATGATGCTGCTGCTGTCCAGTGGAAGTCATCAATGCCCCCTGCATGCTCCTGCTATAAAGAATAAGAAAGCAATTATAATCTATTGTTTAAATTATAGAGATTTTTAATTAACAAATTTCAAAGTATAAATTTATACTTACATTGTTTGCTCGTGGATCATCGCCCAATAGTCCTCTTCGGTGATGCACTGACTCTAATTCCGGTAGCGAGGAGTTTAAATTTAAAATTGAAAAAATAATTAATTTGATTGGAAAGTATTAAATTAGATTACCGCGGCCGAAGATTGAAATCGGCGAACAAATGATTCTATTATCGCGATTCAGAAAACAGAAAGAGCCACGATGCTCTGGAAATAATTTAATACCGCGTAAGAAACACTGCTTCTATTCTCGCGTTTGCCTAACATCGCGAACGACAACGTACTCGGGGTCACTTTGCCCCGAGAAACAAACTTGTTGCTACGTACAATCACTGAATCTACCGGCCGCATTGCGCGCGGCCAACAAATTTCCTAGAAAGAAAAGAACTGAAAAGAAAGGGACAGGAGACAAGAAACACAACAAGCACACCTGTGCTTTGCCTATCGATTTTCTTTTTTCTTCTTACAAGAGTTCGTCAACAGAAATACTGCTTTACTTAGCACTGCTGTATACATAGTTTGACATGATCAATGCCACAAAGGCGAAATATTCTCAATCAATGAGAATTTCAACGATAAAATATTATCTACGAAAATAATTACGTACAAGTAATTATTCAATTTATAAATATTATATCACTAAGTTTCATCGTTAGAGTTGTAAGTATGATTATGTTTACTTTCTCGAACGTTAGAATATCCCGTAATTTTTATAAATATTCCGAAATTTGCAAGAATTAAAGTTCGTTGGTTATTTGTGCCCGAATAGCATATTTCAACGTCGCAGTTACTACATTTTCTTAAACTTGTATCGAAATATATATGCAAATTGCAATTACAACAATTCATAAAGAAATATAAACAATCAATTAAATAAATAACGCTCGGAAATATTCAATAGCGATCAGAATACAGTTAAATATAAACTATTCCAATTTATCGTCGATATCTACCGACGCCATTTCTGTATACTTCGATATACATATATCGAAGTGGATAAAAAGTTTGTCAAAGATTTTCATAATTTATCTTAACAATGGCCGATTATAAAATTATGATCATGCTTGCAACGAATAACGTAATGAAGAGATAAAAATATATAAATATTTATATGGATGTTAATTTTTGTAATAATTGTTTAGAAGTTACCAATATTCCCTCCAAAATTTGTCGACTCGTCTGCCATCTGTTATGGCGTCGTTTACGCGCCAACGAAACTTTCCATGGCGTCGAATTTCAATCAGAGCCTGCAACAGATATAAAATACAAATTAAATCATAATTAAACAATGATTGATTATAATGAGGAAATAGCAAAAGGTTAGAAATACATATGTACTTCGTTGGTCGCGAAACGCCGACACGTCTTGACAGGTTTCAACAAGTCTTATTATTTCTTAATTTCGAATTCCAATAAGAGACTGTAACAGAAACGAAATAACGATGCATTAAAGTACAGAAACGATTATTATAATTAAGTAATGATTAAATCTAAACCGTACTGCAAGAGATCGTTATTAAAACGCGAGTAGTAATAGTGGAAAGATCAACAGGTTAGAAATACGCACCTCGGTCGCGAAACGCCGATACGTCTTGGCACGTCTCGCTTTATAAGTTAATTGTCAAAGTATGAGTGATTGCTGTTCGCTGTGCTCGGTAACGCTCGTGAATTAAGCGGCAGGGTGGGGGAAGCTCCGATGTCTCGCGAAGAAGCTTACTCGGGCGAGATAGATAGCGAAGAATTCTAGAAATTACGAACCCGAGGAATGCCTCGGGTAGAAACCGCGGATAGATTGATTTTAGCAAATTATTTACAACTTTAACTAGTCAAGGAATCGCGAATTCGTACTATTCAAATCGTATGCATTTACACGCAACTAGCTGCTGCCTATCACACTAATTCAGTAAGTTTCTCAACTGACCGCCATCCATGAGAAGAGGACGCTAAAATCACCTCCGAATTTTCAGGTCGGTATGGCAGTCAGATTGGGCCGCGAAAGTCCATAAGGTGTACGGCCTACTCCTATACCTCGTCTGTGAAATGGCTATTAGATAGTTATTAAAAAAGAAAAGAAATTCTGTAATTTCATTGTTTACCATAATAAGCGTTACGATCTTTTTCTATAGCCTGTTGGTAACGTTGCAAGTGGCACGGAAAGGACAATGGGACTCTAGAGCCCTAGAGTAATGTGCCGAAAAAATATATTGGATGTAACGTCTACTTGTTTGTCTCGTCTGTGATTGCAGCATTCCTTTCAATCGACAATAATTAATTAAATGCGTATTAATACGATGCCTCGCAAGTTTTCAAACACAGAAATCTCCGATGTTATATTTGCGTATAATTTTTGCAATGATAACAATAGACCTATCATAGGTGAATACGAGAAGCGATACTTGACCAACAGAATTCATTCTTTGTAACAACGAACAGGCTACACGTAACACAGAGTCATGGATACTTTCGAGCTAAATGTGAACAGTAAACATACATCTTTACCTCTTATTTACAGTACACATTAACTGATTACAATAATGTTGATAATTATTATAGGGTAAACCTGAATTGCCGAAAGATATGAACGAATATTAATACTTACAAATCAAAGCAAGATAGCTTTATTTGGTATAAACGAAACAATACATTTATATTTAGGATGTTGATGATCTGACGAATTAACCATTAAATCGACTAGTAGTTATGTGTAGCCAAAAATAAAAGGAGTGGACCTATATTTATGTCATACAGATATATCTCTTATTTATGACACAAAGGTTGTTATCGATATTAATAGGAATTTATACGTTAGACTAAATTATATTATATTGTCTCAAAAATGTATAATTACAATAAATAAAATAAACAATTTTGGATAAAATGCTGATAAATCTGATATTAATAAGATGAACCTATCATTACTTCGGCCACTATACGTTGCAAATAGAACTCGAACGTCTTCTTCGTTCTCTATTTAGTAACTTTTGCATTCCATGCTTCACATGCGTTTCATCCTAACATCTCTGATTCTTCGAATATCAAACCAGCGCGTCAGGTTGTGACACGTCCAGGGTGGGGATGGTGGTTGAACAGGTGAACGAGGGAGGGTGGACGAACACGATGAACGCCGGCCGGCTGCAGGAGACCGATAGGATACGGGGGCAGTGTAGGATCTCTTGACGCGTGCATCGATGTCCACTGACTCCCGAGGGAAATCCACTTCATGATGGGAATCCCATTATTTCCCGAGCGATATAAAAGTAGGTAGTCCATGTGCTGTCCGGTTCAGGCCATTCCACCTCCATCCTACCCCTCCACTCACCTACTTTCCACCCCCGCTGGACCGTTCTTTTTCCCCCTTTGCGATTGTCTCTCGGTCCATTCGCTATTCGTTCCGGGCCCGATACTTGTTCCTTGCCAAGGCGACACCGTAAAAACACATTTACTTCGAATTAATACACGGGTTGCACGCTAATCGGCTTAAATGCAGCATCTCAGCGGATGATTTCTTTTCTCAAAAGCGCACGGATTCATACACACGTGTATTAGAAGTGGGAATCGGAGTTACGTTTCTCATTTACGATATGCTTAGTTGTCGTACACCTGAAACAATATGAAACGATATTAGAATATGGATCTACAATGGCAGTACCTAGTTTGAGGCAATCGAGTTGCAAGACGAAAATATTATGGACTGCTGAATCCAATTTTGACGATAACATCGGGTATAATTTATAATAGAAAATACGCATTTTGGAAAAAACGGACAAATTTCCAAATACGATTCAAAACAAATGTTTGGTGTAGAATTATTGATAACATTTTACCAAGGCCATATTTTTACACTGGAATTCTAAATAGAAATAAGTATTTATAATATTTAAATTGTGAATTTCAAAATTATTAGGAAGTGCATAATTCGTTCATAATTGTAGACCGGTAAAAAATTTTTTGCATAGTATGTTTAACAATAAATGGATCGGGACATACAGATCCATAAAATGGCCTGCAAGATCCCCTCCCCATTTGTCACCACTACCTGGCTGTTGCAAGTCATGTGATTATGTTAGCCTAGATGCAGTTAGATTTATGTTGCATTTCTATGTTCTTCCTTGTTTTAATTGCAAAACAACGAAGACAGACAAGACCGGCATTCCTATGTCTGTCTTGGTTGTTTTCAATTGCAAAACAAGGAAGGGCATAGAAACGCTTGTGACCCCGCAACGGAAAAAGTTATTCATCCAGCCTTACCGAAGTCCATTTTCTCGTTGGACGAGGCATACCTGCGTGTGGGAATCATTAATTTAAGAGATAAACTATGCCCACATTAATAATAATAACAGTTCACTAAATAACAATAACGTATAACGAAAACAATTAACAACATGACATTTACTATCGCAATCAAATGTATATAATATTATATTTGAGTACTATTCGCCCAAAATTGAGGATCGCCCATCTAGTGTCCACACTGTCCACGCCTGCCATAGTCTCCTCTAGATGACGTAACGATCATTTCGCCAACCTTTCGGAGACGAATTTCAAACCTAGGGACAATCACCTAGAGTGTCACTACACGTGTCATCTTTCGCCGAGCGTAAATGGTGAACATAGTGAAAACACGAGGCTTTCGGAGCGCCACCTTTTCAGGTTTGGTCCATGTTCTTTTCAGAACGGTCGAAACGCTGCGTTCGTGTTGAGAAAACGTGACCACAGAGAATATCGTGTGGCGATCGTGATTAGAGGAACGGGTGTTATGCATGATATTGCATATTGACGTACATTAAGATTGTCGTGTGACGGCATGCAGTTGTCGAAGTAAATAGGCCGCAGTTACACGGGTACGGGATTTTTCACAATAACACGGGTATCCGGAAGCCGGCACATATCAATATACGCGAGCACGGAGAATTGGTTATTGAAAAAATGGCGGCGGAAATGCCAAACAAGAACCGAATGATGGTTTTTAAGAACAAAGGCAAAGATCAAGACGTGAGTACCCAGTTCGTTCATCGTTGTGCGCAATTATCTTGTGCGTATGAAATATTCGGCCGTCGTTCTAAGCGTACGAATGCGAGATCATTGTGCTCGCTAGTTTTCTCGAGATAATGAAACATATTTCTACACTTTGTTGTTCCAATCGGATTTTTAGAAATTTCTATGCGATTATTTCCTATAAGACACGATAATTTAAGATCGATCACAATACAGTTAATCATTCTATTCGAAACAAGCGGAAAGTGTCGTCGATCTTCCAAGTATTGTCAAATACATCTCCAAAAAGGATAGGGTTGGATAGTTAATTACGAGAAAAATGATGAACTTTCTAGAAACGATATTTTAAATGTTCGCTAAAAACCTTATTCGCGTGTTTACAATGTTTTTATACACTTCTTCGCATAAATATTTTAATATGCTATAACTTCTGTAATTTCTTTATACTTTTATATTATAATTAGGATGATTACAAACGAGAATATTACAAACAATATTGAAATGTCTTAAGATTTAAATCATTTACATCTAAATGATAATATTATCCCTTTGGAGAATCATAATTTATTCAAGTAAATTTGAACTTTTAATAATGAATTGAACAAATGCTATCTAAGAATAAAATCTGCAAGAATATTATACATGTATATCAAATTTTACCTTAACCTTTTAACTTAGTATATAGTCCGCATTAAAATAATAAATCATAATTTTATAATTATATTAGATAATAAATATATAGGTTAGTGTATAGTAATTCAGCAAATATATTTTTTTAATATTTGGAAATGTGTTGCTATATTATGAAAAGTTTGAAGAAGGACATATCTTTGGTATGTAAGTAGCATTCTTGGGCAGTAGTATGTTGCAAAGCTGAGAGTTATGGTTCTAAATAAAGTTGTTAACTATTCTGAAAGATCCATAATGTGTTTCATGGTTCTATGGTTCCTATAGAATTTACTTCAAGGCCAATAGTGTCTTGAAATTGTTTTATAATAATAGGTATCTTGCAAAGTACAGCAAACACTTGTTACACAGCATTTGATTTGAAAAAATTACATCAAATGCAGGAGTATATATTTAAATTGTATACATTTTTATATTTATCATGACTTTGTACAACCATTATATATTTAATTTTTTTATAATTTTGTGCTATTGCAAAAAAAGGGCAAATAAATCTTATTACATAGTAATGATAATAATCTTTTATAATACTGAAATTTATTTAAAATTTTATATTATGTCAATTTATATTGTTGAAATTTGTTGAGGAAATTTGGAATTCATATTGAAATTATAAAAGTTAGTACTGCATTATAATTCTATTATACTGTTATGATCCTGATTGCTGTTTAAGATATATCAATTCTTTCATGAGATTATGGTATATAAGTTCCTTTTCAGATAGCTTATAATATTCTCTTTAGATAGATCAGATCATCTGATTGTTATAAAATTTATGAAGACATATGTTTATAAAAATAAAAGTGAAAATTAAATTCTGAGTCACAGTCTGGCACTGTGCTGTGCAAATACCATGTATCAGCTCAGATAACTTGGTATGGCAGACAATGTGTTAAATAACGACACGAGATAATAGTAAACTATTTTTCATTATTATATTTTGTTTTTATAGATTTAAATCAGAATATTGTAAATTGCTGTTTAAAATAGCATTATATTTGAAAGGTATTTAAATTATTTCTTGTTATATGTGACAATGAATAACAAATGTTTTAGGAAATGAGAAGAAGAAGAAATGAAGTGACAGTGGAATTGCGCAAGAATAAACGTAATGAGACTTTACTAAAACGAAGAAACGTGCCTATTGTAGATTCTACAGGTAAATTTTTTTACAAGATCGATGGAAGCATTTATTGATAAACATAATGCTAACATTTTCTTTCAGACGAAGATGATGCTGATAAACATTTGTCAAAAATTAATTTGAAAGAGCTGGTAGCGAATGCTGGTAGTTCAGACCCAGCTATTCAATTAGAAGCTGTTCAATCTGCAAGAAAGTTACTATCGTCAGATCGTAATCCACCGATTGATTTATTAATCGATAGTGGCATTTTACCAGTCCTAGTTCATTGTCTTGAACAGCACAATAGGTATGGGAGTATGTAAATTCATGTGTCGTTTTTACGATTTAAAATATCTGATTCATAACCTATTTTATAGCCCGACTTTGCAATTTGAAGCTGCATGGGCTCTAACAAATATTGCAAGCGGAACATCGCCCCAAACACAAGCAGTTGTAGATGCTGGTGCAGTCCCCCATTTTCTGCATTTGTTACTTTCAAGTCATCAGAATGTTTGCGAACAATCTGTATGGGCTTTAGGTATACAATCTAATATAAAAGTAAAAAATATAAAAATTGTATTAAAACTACACGTACATGATATTACAGTTTCACTTCTTAGAACATTCGTAAATATTTGTCTTAACTGCTTAATATTTATACTATCATTTAAATAAACAAACCATGTTGTTATAAAATATGTGCAAACAGGAATAGAAATTTCTATAGCAAGTCCTAATAGAAAGTTCTATAGAGAAACAGACTGACGAAGATTTTATTTGTCGAATATAGACATCTATAATAGAGCTTCAAAATTAATTTGCTTTTATAAAAGTAATTCTAAAAATGTTACATTTATTGACAATATGAGATTCAAGGCTTTCGCGGCCTGAGTGTATACTTTAATTCACGGGTTCCGGATAGATGCCGCGTCTATCCGGAAACCATGAACTCGATTCATTGACAATATTGTTCCTTACAGGAAATATTATTGGAGATGGTCCAACATCTAGGGATTATGTTATTAGGCTTGGCATTGTACAGCCATTGTTAACATTTGTTCAACTGGATATACCTATTAGTTTTTTGCGTAATGTAACATGGGTGATTGTGAACTTATGTAGAAATAAAGATCCAGCACCACCTGTTCAAACAATTAAGGATATTTTGCCTGCTCTTAACGTGCTCATCCATCACACAGATATTAATGTAAGCGGTGAAAGTAATTTTTAATGTATCTGCCGTAATTGAAAATTGAAACAAATCATTACGTCCAATGTGTATTGCAGATACTTGTTGATTCAGTTTGGGCATTGAGCTATCTCACTGATGGTGGTAATGAACAAATTCAAATGGTTATAGACAGTGGTGTTGTACCTCGTCTTATACCACTTCTGTCGCACAAAGAAGTTAAGGTACAAACAGCTGCTTTGAGGGCAATTGGTAATATAGTAACGGGTACAGATGAACAAACACAGATTGTAATAAACTCGGACGCTCTTTCGCACTTCCCTAACTTACTGACTCATCCGAAGGAGAAAATTTGTAAAGAAGCGGTTTGGTTCATTTCTAATATAACTGCGGGGAATCAATCACAAGTTCAAGCTGTAATGGATGCTGGTCTAATGCCACTTATCATTAGCAATTTGGCGAAGGTAAGAACACATTCTTATGAAATTATTGGAAATTGTTAAATTAAACTGATATTACTTTACTAATATATTTCATGTTAAACAGGGTGAATTCCAAACGCAAAAGGAAGCAGCATGGGCAATTAGCAATTTCACGATAAGTGGTAATAGAGTACAAGTTGTGCAGCTTATACGAGAAGGTGTTATTGCACCTTTCTGTGACCTCCTTTCCTGCAAAGATACTCAAGTTGTACAGGTTGTTTTAGATGGTATACATAACATGCTCAAACTTGCTGGAAAACAAGTTGAACAATTGGCTAATATGATTGAAGAGTGTTCAGGTTGGTGTTTGCAGCATCGAAATCATTTATTTAGGCACCTTGTTCAAAAACTTTATTTATATCTATTAATGTTGGCTTACAGGTTTGGACAAAATCGAAGCACTGCAAAATCACGAAAATGTAGACATTTATAAACTAGCATATGATATTATTGAGCAATACTTTTCTGAAGAGGTGTGTATTTATTTTGATTTAGTAACTAGTAGCTCACGTACCTTTTATAGTTTTAGGTTTCGAGATAAATATATTTCGTAATGATTTTAGGCGGATGACACGAATTTGGGGCCACAGGTCGAAGAAGGTGCATTTGAGTTTGACCAGACGTCGACTATTCCGAGTGAAGGTTTTAAGTTCTGAGAGGGCCTCCATTATTTCTTATCCGATCGTGCCGTCCCTCGACAAACTTCATTACGAAGTCATTCTGCTTACCCTTTCCTATTCTTATGTCTCATTCTTGCTCCAATGACAACACGTGGCACTACCAATATGCCACCGCTGAACCAAGAATCATGTTTTTTTTTGCTAATCCAAAGGCATAACATTGACTGATTTTTTGCCCGATAAAAGAAATATCGGATCGAAGCAAGGGCAAAAGTTACGGAGCAAAGGTGTTTCTTATCGAAACGAGAAAGTCTGTATTCTTTTGTTTTCCTTCTGATTTTTTTTTTAACGATACGTACGTTAATTTGTTTAAATTGCACATATCTGGCAGAGCGGAACTTAGTCGGACGCAGCTAGGGTTATGCAAACGTACCAACTAAATTATTCTAGTGTACCTACTAATTATTTTGCTCTCTAAATCGAGTAGCAACAGAGGAAAGAAGTAAAAAAACCATTTTATTGCTTGATCATGCTGCTGTCCACTCTAACTCGAGATGAGTCTTGGTTAGCGATGTTACATTTATAAAACAATTCGTGTATATTTTAGGCATGTTAAATTTATAATATCGATTACTAAATAAATGAATCGATTGACTACTACTCTTTATTAGTTTAATTCGCAACTATGGATCATTTCTGTAAGAGGAAGTAGACGAACAATAAAACTATAACGTTAATTTGGCAACATTCACTGTCAATTTTTACTTGAACTTTTAATCACGCAGAAAATACGGTTAATAATCCAAAATCGATTTAATTTCCTTCAAGAAACATGGTATTTTTATTACTTGTTACAATTATGATTCAGATGCGAATTCGATCGTGGCATCATTGAATACGTGAACTTCATCGGCATAAATATTTTCAGGAAGTGTATCTTCGTTGGTGTTTGGTAAATACGTAGGAAAATGCGGCGAAGATACTCTTTTCATTGGAAGTATCGTATCGTACAAATAGCACATGTTGTTCGTTTCTCCCGGTATATTTTGAGCCATTACCCAAATTACATTATATTTGGTGTTTATTCGTAATACCTGCAATACAAAAATGTTTGTTAATGATAATATTAATCTTACACTACAAAACATAACTCTCATTGATCATTGATATTGACTTAATCCATTTCCTTTGTTGTAATTATCATTTCTGTTAAAATTACATCAAATTGAAGCTCTTTATTTGCTGTTATACATAGTGTAAATCATGCAATCGAGGCAAGTCATCTATTTTTTACTGAAAAGTGGAAGAAAGTAATAGAAAACAAATTTTGTTATTGAATGGTATAAAATTTTGATCTCCTTATACAGTGTTCCCACTTTAAATGAGAAAAAAAACACCTTCTCAACTTTTACTTAAACTATATTCCGAAGAATAGAAATGTTTATAAGTTCAATGAAATATTTGAGATTTTGTAGCACTCTCAATGACAGTGACGTTATTCAACATTGTATAAATATCAGAGTTCATTTCTTACAAGTATTCTAAAGAAACATTGTCCTTAGCTTTATGAATAGAGGAAAAACTTAATTAAAAAAAAAAGGTGATCCTTTACGATGAAAACTAAAGCAAATAAAAAGGTCTTGTCTTGAATTGTTACAGGGATAAAAATTCTTTTGAGAAGGCGATTCTCATCAAAATCGATGCAAACTGCCAACTTTGAGGGTCAATGTTTTTTAATGAATTTCGAAATCAATAAAATGATGACTTAATTCCCCCTTAATATCACATGGACTACAACATATTTCGATTTGAAAATCCCCGACAGCGAGTATAATAGTAAATCGATTTGGCGTGGAACGATGAATTGTTGCATATTTCTGGTGTCAAAGTATCCAGTAAAAATATTTTAAAAATTCACTCTGCATAACAATTTTATTTACATATTAATAAATTATTAATAGTGTACGCTTTATTATTCTACTAAATACTCGATATAATTTCATATTTTAATTCAATACTTGAATAGTATACAATGAATAAAATGTTTATTTAATTTTTTTTATTTAAAATTTAGTTCTTTTCAACATGTATTTAAGATAATTTTTAGATTTTTTACAAATGACAAATATATCGGAAAAAATCAAAAGCCAATAAGAGGTAACCATCATTATCCATGTATCTATTTTGCTAAATATTTAATCAGATCTTCAGATGAGAATATAGAATTTAAACGTAAATTTTTATGTAAAAAAAAGATTTCGTATATTTATTCTGTAGATAGTATGTATCGTGTGGGATATATCAAATGTAAATTTTCTTCTTTTACATGTAGAAAATATAGAAATATGCAAAGTGTCTTATATTTCTGTCCAATACTGTAAGTCCGGTGAACAAACAGGCCACAAAAAGTAGTCCCCCGCGCTCTGACCACCAATTCGGAGAAATACGAAGTGCACTTATTATGCACGATATAACCGCCCAATTTCAAAAGGAAAATCCCGGCCAATTTCCAAAGCACTGTTGTAGTTGTCTTCATGACATTCCCTTTCTATGGCCTTCACGTTTACGTACAGCTAAATTTGTCAAACGTAAACTTCATAGTGATAGCTGTTTAACACGTGAATTGAGCTCTACTGATGCTAACGACAACAAGTTCAAGATTACTATTTTCTAACAATGTCAATTTAAGAAATTCACTATTTACCGTTCTTATCATTTATTTGTTCATATGAACGAATACGCCACAAACTAGATTGCCAACATAGGAAAATAGATATTGCACTAAGGATAAAAAAAATATGAAGTTCCCCTAATATGTCCCCTATTATAGTATATAACTTTTTCGCATAGAAAATTCTTTTCTATGTTTAAAATAACGGAAATATTTCAGATAGGCAGAGTTTCCGTTTCATCTTGTACAAGCAAAATAATTAACCAATAATAATTATTGACTACCTTTACACCTCTGAGAATACGCCAATGATTTCCCATATGTCCAGGCAATTTGGTTCCAGGCATTACTCTAGCTTTACCACCTCCTGAACCTATATTACCTGGTCTTCTATGAGTTTTCGTTACACCATGAGTGGCAGGCATACCTTTGAATCCCCAACGTTTCATAACACCCTGAAAGCCACGGTCTACCCTACATTTATAAATATTATAATTTATAATTAAATGTCTAATGCAGAATAAAAGTATTAGTAATACGTTTACGTTTTTCCCCTAATGTCAAGGTATTGTCCAGGTTTAAAATGAGCTGCGCACAAAGGAGTACCTGGTTGAAGGGCAGCATCTGGTGAAACAATAAACCTCATTAATGTTTTCTTTGGTCTAACTCCTGCCATGTTAAATATTCCAAAGTACTCCTTAGTTAGCTGTAAAAATAAACAACATGAACATTTCAGTCGTGTAGAAACATTAAAAAGAAACAAAAATCACAACTTACTAGCTGTGGATCAATATTCTCTGCGCCTATTACAAGGCAACCATTTTTCCTTTTGACTTGTCTTGCTTTAGGGCCAATCACTGGATTATATTCTTCTGGCTGTGTATATTTCACAACTTCATTGTCCATGATCTGTAAAAAAAAATGAGGTACATAATAATTCAGTAAAACTGTTTAAAATGAAAAAAATGATTCTACAATTACAATAACAAGTAGTACCTGTATTAAACTAGTTAGTACTTTTTTTCCATTTTTCAGCCACATTGGATACACACCTATCTTTTTGCCAATTAAACCAGTACGCTTGGAAGATCGGGTCCATTCTGTAACTGGTTCAATTACCTCCATATTCAATGGTGATTTGTGGTTAAAACTTAGTGTTTGGTTTAAGGCAGTAATTTCTGAGAGAAATTCTTTGTTTTCAGGAGTAAGCGATTCATCGTAGCGCTAGTAAAAAGAGTAATATTACACATTATTTATAAATTAGAGAGAAAACAGAACATAATTTTTATTTTAAGAATGCATACTATGCGCATTGGTTTTGGAAGCCATTCTGGATGACGCTTCCTTGGAGGTGGATTCACTTTACCGCGTACTGGTACAATGTCAATGCTAAGAACAAATTTTTGCAATATTGTTGTCTAACAATGAAATCATAACAAACGGCAACTATGTAAATAGCACATCATCTTTTTCGAATAATAACATATTTACAAATACCGAGGGTACAAGTATGATTAAAATATGCATACCTTACTTTCATACATTTGTTAAAAAGTTGAAAACCATTCAAAGTTTTTAGTAACGATGCCATATTTGCAGAATTAGTAACTCCTATATGAATAATATTGTAACAGTGAGATGCTAATATAACCCTAAAAAATAGATTAAGCTTTACATAAATACAAGTGGTTACTTAATGTTTTCACGTAATTTAAAAATGCAATAATTATAGTATATCAATGGTTTTTATCATAATTCTGTGGAAAATTCTAGCCACATACAACACATTTAAATTAAAAGGCTATAGGTTAGAGCAGTATGGCGGACAGAATTAAATGCATCGAGAATGACAATAATAACGATGAATTTACTATAGCATCTAGAGGAGCGATGGAGAAAGCTGACACATACTACAGCACGAGCCATGTGTACATGAGAGCGACACCGCGCAATATATCATATTTTTTCTAACAAAAAAAAAAATTGTTTCTACTATGCCCCTCCTTCTCTTTCTCTTTGGATGAATACGGATGTTTGTTACAGCTTCAGTACCAAACGTAGAAATGTAAGATTCATTCCACGTCAAATCTATTAACCCACTCTCTGCCAGTGATACTTTTTTATAATAAACGTATTTTGAAGTACCAGCTTAATTGTTAAATGCTTATTTTTTAATGAAGTATCATTGTTCGATGGAAACCATAGGAAGATGGGTGGGCTTCTTTCTTCAGGAGGGGCGAAGGATAGGATAGGATCAGGCCTTGATGTATCATCCACGCACCCGTTTGGTTGTTCAGGCAGCAGGGGAGGTGAACCCCTACGTGGTGCATCCCCAGGTAGCGGATAGGGGCAGCCGCTGAGATGAGATGCAGGGATGAGGTCATCAATCTGAGAAGGCTGGTGACCGCATCCTCGCATGGCATCCTGGAGGTCGGAGCGAAAGCTCCCGCGGGCCAAACACCGGTATGAATGTGTGTGTGCGAGTGGACTGGGACATGTGATATTTGCCGTGGGGTTTACCTAAGACCGCAGGTTGGCCAGTTGGCTGCGGGTAAGTCCTGCGGCCAACGAGGCCACGCGGCCGGTGGCTTAGTCCCATGTCACGGGGCCACGGGCGCTGGTGACCAGGCGCCTGCGTATGAGCGCCGGGGCACGGCACGGCAGGGGACTCTGTGATGACTCACTAGAGTTCCCGGTCCTTCGCCAGGCACCTGAGGATGGTCATCGTGGGGTTTTAGCCGGTGAGAATCCGGCACTACCTGCCGGTCTTCCCTTCGGGCGGGCTCCCGGGTGTCCATGAGGATTTCCCCACGTACAAAAAAAAAATTCGAATTTCATTCCAAATCAATAATTGAATTTGACAACGAAATAGTAATGAGCGATTAATTCTATTAATTGCGACTTAATTTTGATGACTAAATTTTTAATCCCATCAATTGATTAATTGCTCCAATGAATTTAATCGATTGATGCTCAACTCTGGATCGTAGAGTTTTCATTCCATTAAAAAACAAAGGAATTCCTGTAATTTCATTTTCTACCATTGCAAGTGACATCAAAATGATAATGGGGGCTCTAGAGCCCCAGAGAAATGGGTCGAAAAAATCTCGTTTATAATTCTCTTTCTCATGGAACTACTTGAAAGAGATCATCTAAATGCTTTTACCATAGTACAAATAATTGGTTCAGTTGAAATAGGTTGTCTTGTCAAATAAAAATAAAATACATGTTTATAATGACATTATTGTATTTCATTAATAAAGACACATATGAGTTTAGTCAAAGATAAGTTATTGCATCAACTACACAGATCAAAAACTCATTTATGTACAATACCATGACTGACTTTTATTTATGTCTTATATTCATAATGTAATAATGAACGAATATACAATAGTACATTTTTTACAGGGTTCATAGTGAAAAGTGCATAGCATTGTCACATTAAACTATGTGTTGTGTTCTGTTGTGTGTGTGTGTGTGTGTATGTGCGCAAGCGTGCATGTGTATATATATGTATGCATATTCCATTCTTACAATTTTCAACAGCCAATACATTGTATAATTTACTTACGTGAAGAAATGGTTTTACAAATATCAGGTACATATAACGTTCTACGAAATGTTCTTGAAATGAAACTCTTTTACAAAGTAAAATTTTTCAAAAAACATTGATTTAGTTAAATTTATTTGCAATTAAAATTGGATGTTATTTAACATTTTTCTTATAATACAATTATAATTCGCAATTTTATCATAACAGACAATAAATAAATATTTCAGTCAAGTCAATGCGAATGTTCGTATCGTCAGGTACTTAAACTTCGAATCTAGAAATTTGTAAATTTCCTACATTATCTTTCAACTAAACACAATATACATATACTGAGATACAAATTTTCAATGTGCCAAAGCTTCGTCAAAATGTTTCGTAGAAGCAAAATTTTGTGTCTTGAACATCGTATTTTGCAAAGGAAAAAATAAATATCCATTTTTAATCGTAAACAATAATTTAAAAATCATTATGTTGCAATTTTAGGATAGAAAGCTTTTATTTTCTTGGATACAATAATGTCTATGTAATGTAAATTTGAACTGTAACTTAAAAAAGCATTAATTTACTATGGTAAATATCAAATGAAAGTCTATGCTACGAGTGTGAACAGCACTTTTCATCGTGAACATGTAAATTACTGATTGAATTATATTTGTCACGAATTATTTAACTGTTCCGCTTAAAAAATCAGAAAATGAATATTGTCTTTTGTAATATTATATGAACGTTGAGTTACGTTATAGTTCGCTTTGTTCGAAACACAATCGTGGTCATTTAATCAGTATTTGATGATCAAAACGTTGGTAGAAATATACCAAGTATGTAATTCGTACATTGAAAATTACGATTGCGCTATTCATATAATGCGTGAATTTATATTAAAGCAATTAAATTTATAGTTTTACGATCAAGTCAGTTTCTTTGGTACTGAACGATCTTTAATATCACGTTCATCGATACAACTAAGAATATTCACATTAACATAAGAAATTATATGCGCGAAAACGTATATACGCAAACTATTTTCAAAATAAAAAATTATTTATAGTAATTATATATTTTAAACATGAAAATTGTATTATTCCACAAGCGAGTTTGTGACGTCGAGTGTCCTCTCGGTTATTTTGTTAAAAAATAAAAGTTTTAGCGATTGAAACATAATAATTCGTACACATTTATCTAAAATAATTGATTCGCTATTAATTTTTGAAGGATACATAAATTGTTTCACATTGAAATCGCACTTGAACAGATGAATCTATAATAATTTCCATGATAATCTAGTCATTTTCACAATATATTACACCGTTTGCATTATTTTTACACGCTGAGTTGCTTAAAGTAATGTCTGCAGAATATTGACATCATTGAAGGCGGAGCATCAATTTTACACAACAGCTTTTGTTCTTCTTCCGTTAATCTTTCTAGTGATAAAGTATATTCTTTGTCGAAAACACCTAAAAGTTAAGTCAGGTAAGACTAGTTAATGAACTAACTAAATATTCTAAGAATAGAATAATGTACAAAGCGTTACCAAAAATGTGAAACGTTTTTTAGGCATTTTACCATTTTTCAGATAGAGATGGAAAAGCTATTGTCATGAATTAAGGGTAATTAAATTTTTTAATGATTTCTTAATTACTCGATCGAGCTTCCCAGAAGTGAGCTTCGTAAGCGTGCGTCAACGGTATCTTTTTATCTAATTCTTTGTATCTAATCTCATTTATATATAATAAAACATTCAAATACATTACATAGTGGCTTTATTCTAAATCTGTTAATTTTTTTTCTGAGTTTTATAAAGAAATATTAAGGATTATTATTAAAAGTTCTCATGTCCAATATAATTATTATCTTAATGAATTCTTCTTAGCATTACATTTTGCAAAAAATATGTTTAAAGTTTGAAACTATTCATTAACAATATATACCGTTGTGTTTCTCTTAACATTAGCTATAATACTGTAATGATAAAAATATTTAATCTATTATATTAAATATTTAATATAACTTGTGTAAAAAGTTTTGCCAATTACAACATTTGTAGTTTTTAATCAAATTTCGTTGACAATTTTTCGTATCATCAACAGCAACGGAGATATATTTAAGGTGCTCCAGGTAAACGGGACACCTTGTATATTTATTTGCTCACTTAATAATATAATACTTACCTTGATCAATATTTCCTCTACCCAAAACGGTAAATGCTAAAAACAATATATCTCGATATATAGAAAATAGGGGTTGGTCAGGTGCTTGATTTCTGCTTCTCTCTAAGGCCACTCTTTTTATAGGTTCTGCTAAGTCGTTTCGACGAACGTTCGTAATTACTAACTGCATTAACCTAAAACAGATATAAGTCTTGGTTATTTATATATATATATATGACAATGAAATTCATGAATTTTAAATTATAGAATGTTATACAACTATATGTTGTTTTATGCATCATAGAATTTAATACTTTTACTAGTTTCTGTGTCACATATATTTTTTTGAACGAAACATTTTCTCTTTTAAAGCTAATAACTGATCTAAAGTTATTAATAATTATACCAACTAATAAAATGGCAAAGAAGATGATTTTGATGCTAATGTGTAATACATTATACATTACTGTAGACAAAATTTTCGACAAGTTTTAAATATTACAGTATAGCATAGAGTAAATCTCTAATGATGCAATTTAAACACAAAGAACACGAATAAGATTTTTTCCAAGATCTGTGAACTTTTGTAATTAGGAAGAGAGGAGCAGGGAAGTGGGGTTTTAGCTGATAGGGGTTTGGCACTACACGTGGGTCTAGAGTGCCCATGAAGATTTTATGAAAAAGAGGAACTGTCTAGTGACTTCAGAGCTGGAATGTTAAGCTTCATTTGTAAAAGCGTTTCAGAGATAAAAATATATACAATTTTAATACTTATAATGATGCTTTTACATGTTGTGTATTTACGATATGGTACGTGAATTCTACTTACGTTTTATCCTCTGTAATATTGAGCTTCCATTGAAGGTACATGGGTAAACGATCCATATGAAGTCTTTCGTTGTCCCACATAGTTTTAACACCTACTGCACCATAATTTATTTGATCCTTTTTCTTATCATTATTCAACCATAAATCTGGGAGATGACTTGTTAAATTAATCCTTTCAAAGTACCATATAAGGTTCCAATATACTATTGGATGTTCTTCGATAAATTTATGTTTTGTAAGACAAGAATCACCTTCTTGACTTAAGACACTTTCTAGTTCCTTTCTTAAAACAAGAGGATTTAAATATGGCACTGTGGTGGGTTCTAATAATTCTTTCGGTTTATCCAAAAGTTCAACTAGTGCTCCCATTAGAGGGTCATTTTTTCTTTCATTTTTCTCGCATCTTTATAAACATACAAATTCACAAACGTTGTAAATACACAGTGTACATAACGCTAATGCAATACACACATATTTATATTACCTGTAATCTAATATTGTTATAGTAAGTAGAGGTACTGTCGCTTTGTCGCAATATTGACAGACCGTATTTAAATTTGAGTCTTCTGGTTGCCAACCAGCCATTATTTCTTCATCATAGAGTATAGAGGCACAATGATGACATCTACTAGCACTAGAGAGCACAAGTTCAATAGCAATTCGTTCATCCAATTCTCTTGAACCTTTTGGATATAAATTTTCGGCCAAATCACACAATGTATAAGGATCTATATTTCCGTCTCCTGTTATGAAAGAAAAATGTTATATTGAAAATCGATATTTTGTTCTGTTTATTTTTATCGCTGGAATTAAGTTTTTAATGTTACGAACCAGATATTCTAAGAGCTTCGGTTCGATCTTGAACAGATCCGTCTGTCATGGAATCCAACGATTCATGCGATGCTCCATGTGTTATTTTATATTCACGTTCTTTAAGTTTTACTGGTGTACTAGTTGCAGAAATAGCTTCTTTAATTTCATCAAACTTTTTTGCTACTGTCGTAGCAGCCGATTTTAAGCTATTTAGGCCACCTAATATTATTTCATTAGATTTTTTCCCAGTCAGACTAGTCGAGCTGAAACAGATATTTTCAATTACGTGAAAATAAATTATCAATACTTTTTCAGATAAAATGTTAAAAACAAGTATTTTTATGTACACTGGCCAACAAAATGATAAATGCTCGTGTAGTGCGAATGTAAAACGGCAAACTGTTATACACTTATACAGGATGTTCAGGCACCCCTGGGAAAAATTTTAATGGAAGATTATAGGGGCCAAAATAAGAAGAAAATCAAGAATACCAATTTGTTGATTGAGGCTTCGTTAAAAAGTTATTAACGTTTAAAGTTACGCCTGTAGAACAGCAATCTGCGAACAGCTGCGTGCGCACGATAGGTTGAGGCAGGCCAGTCCTAGTGGTTCTCACTCACAAAACTTTAAACGTTAATAACTTTTTAACGACGCCTTAATCAACAAATTGGTATTCTTGATTTTCGTCTTATTTTGATCTCTAGAATCTCCCATTACAATTTTTTCCCAGGGGTGCCCGGACACCCTGTATATCATACAAATTAGTTTTCAACATCTTTCCTATGATATAACAACTTAAAAAACACCTAAAATGTAAATAACAAGTTATATCGTATATGTTGAACATATCTGGGTTAATAATGTTAAAGATAACCTAACCCAGATCCTGACAAATGTAAGAAAATTGAAAAGTAGGCGATGCGTACAGAATAAAGTCTATTATAAAAATAATAATAAATCATAACTAATAAAAGATTTTTATTTCTCTTTGCATCTCCTATTATCCAACATTCCCATAAATGACAATTAAACACTTTTCTTAAGTAGGTGGGTCATTTGCATCATGTCCTATCTTTAGAATAGGATAATTCCTTGGTCCGTGATTAAGGAAAAACTAAAAAATGTCATCTATTAAAACTACTGCATTTTTAAAATGTTCAGAATATTTGGTATTAAAGAAGTTGACAAAATTATTGACGTTGATGTTATTGTTAAAGTCGCAATTTTTGAGAGTAACAAATATTGCTTGGATTACAAGTTTGAATAGTGTTTGAGAATACCTCAGAACTAACCCAGACCTTTATAGACTATTCTAGTTAACAAGTTGGAGAGATGGCATATAAATATAACATTTTGTTCATGAATAAGGAATCGACAAAGCTAAGAATGTTGTGTGAGCATCCAAGTAACATCTTCCTATAATAATTGCTTGTTCTTTTGCCGGAAACAAAATATTTTGGGCTACTGTCGCGTATATCGTGTAACATTTTCTGCCATTCTTGACGTTGATTCTTATGACTTCTGGATATTCCTGTAGTTAGGAGTATCCATGTTATAATCGACGATTTTTTATACTGCCCCCTGCCCATCAGAGGCTTAAGTTTTCAATTTGTTGAACAGTTGTACTGATAATTATACGCTTTTCACATTCAAATAACTAGAAGACAGACAAACGAGCAACGCACTACAGAACACCTCTCAGCGTTTGTACACACATCTGATTCGTTCAACAGTCGGAAGAACTAAACCTATCACTTTTGAGTTACTAGTATTAATATAAAAAAAAACGTCTTTAAGTCAGAAAAATCAAATATAGTATTAGTATGGGAGAGGGGATTGCCTAGCTCATGATGTACTTATTTTTTGTATGGTTTAAGCAAAAGTTTCCTTGTGGTTTACTTCAAAGTAAGTCGCTGGACTTTTTATTTGTGGGAAGCTATGGAAGCATCTCTATAATAACAATCTCATTATACCGGAAAACATGCATGAACGTATTACAACTGAATGTGCTCAAATATGTCAAGCAACTATAAACGGAGTCAGAGAATCATTTATTTTCGATTATAGAAATGTATTAACGTTAATAAACATAGTTTTTAGCATTTAGTAAAACAAATTTAATTAGTATTTTTCCATAGTTATTTCCAGATTTTAGAAACCTCTACCGAGATATTACCATTCTTGATTTTCCTCTTATTTTGACCTGTAGAATCACCCCCCTCAAATATTGACAAATGGTATCCGAACACCCTGCATAATTTACTGAGCTCAGTACAAGAAACATGTTCGTTCTAATTATTGTATTGTACTAATTTTGAAAGATTGTATATAATATTTTGATTAAAAAATATTCTATATAAATTTTAAAGTTAAAAGTATCAGGGATTTTATGACAGCAACAGCAGAGTATTAAACAAAGCGGTTTACTAAATGCGGGGCTTCGCAAGTCGTGCAAGTCATAAAACTTACTCAAGGACTTGTAGAGCTTCAAGCCTAACAGGTGTTTCTGTGATTCGGCTTGAGCCGTCTTGAGTTTTATTTTTTAACTCAAGTTTAGAGTGCATATATAAGAAACTTGATTGTGTAAAATTACAATTATTACTGACGAATTTTATAAAATGTTTTAGACATTCTTTAATCCTTCAGCGATTGCCGAAAATGAATAACCTTCGTCTCTCACCAATAAAATTTGTTTTCTTTGCACAGAGTTGATATTCTTTCCTTGGCTTATGGCTGTGAACCGATTTTCGATTGTTTGCATTGTTGAACATATTAAACCATGACAACCAAATTAACAATGACGGCAAATAATCAATCACAACGATAAATGATCTTCGGTCTTAAGTAGCTGTCCACTGTATTAACGGAACAATATAAGAAAATAATCAAAAATACTTGTAATATTGAAGTTAAAAATAAAATTACTTTCGCATTATGGTAGAATATAGTCCAATGTATATTACATTCAAGTTTAATATAGCAAACATCTAATTAATGAAATGTTTTTTTGTTGAACAAGCGGTATTAAGTAGCTGGCCACGACTTTATATAAAAAACGGGAATAAAATACAATTAAAACGATATGAGCAAACCTAAGAGGTACTAGATACAACATTAAAGCAACTTCTCAGACAATATTGTAGATATAAAGTATTTAACAAAGTCAATTGAATGCGTATCCCGTTGTAAACATTTTATAGAATTCAATAACATTTTAATGATTTAATAATAATAATAAATTTTTTTCGAATCTCTAAAGACGTTCCTTTACATGATATGATATGGAAGATCGAATGATTCGATAAATTCGTTATACATGTGACTCTGTATCCTTTTTTTATATTAAATACCAGATTTGTTAGTAGAATATCGAGTGTATTAATATATGCATGTAACTCAAAGGTATACATATCACAAAAATAAAACTCAAGCAGTGAATGTGATTATATACTTTGTCTATTTATATTTGTTAGTGTAGATTCCAGTTAATAAAACTTATGCCTTACCCGAAACTCAGCTTCAAACTAGAGCCTAGATTTGACAGACTCGAGGTAACGCTATCCTTTTGAGACCAAAGACTGCTTATTTCTAGTCTTTCTCTTTCTTTATCTTGTTCGCCTTGCTGTGCCACAGAATAAGGCATTGTTTCACTTCTTTGCAAATGGCCGCCTATTGCTACATCACTTTCATCTACGGTTTGGTGAAATGTTGCGCTACGAGGCAAGACATTGCTGGAAGAAGTTATAGGATGAATATAAAGAGATTTGTGATAATACTATGTTTTCAATTACGTTATAGGTAATCTTACAGTGTTACAAATTCAATAAAATTTGTTGAAATTCAAAGGTATTTTAAGATACATGGTATTTATAACTCTTATAATGTAATGTAATATCATGTGATAGGTACATACTAAGAAGTGAATTTCCCCCAAGTAAAAATCTGACTTGTTGATTAAGTTTTTTACAGTCATAGAGAATGAAATACTCAAATCAATGATTATGGTTTGATGGGCATATGATTAATAATTTATGAGATATATAATATTGAAGTTTTGGTATCCGTTTATCTGCTACAGTACAAGTACAACTTGTAAGTAAAGTCCTGTAATGGACGGGTTTTCAACTTAGCGATTGCTATGCTACCATATTAATTTATTCGACTAGCCAGGCCACCAGAGTCTTAAGTTTATTTCAAAGTTAACTTTGTTTTTCTATTACAATGATAACGTTATTTTCTTCTGAAAGATAATTCATTTCATTTAAGAAGATAACTGAACTAGTGGTCGAACAAATCATGTACGACAGCACCTTCTTTGATCCCGAAGAAGATAATGTGCCTACCTGCACGCTAAAAGTAGTACCGCCGAAATATACACCTATTTGCCAACCGTGCAACGTGTATTTTTTTTTGGCAGATTAAAAATTTCCTTTCACGACTCGAAAATGCTCCAGCATTGATCCGCGAAAATAGTGAACTCACAAATAGACAGGATATAATAAAATTACATTCTATAATCGTTTAAACTCAAACGCGTTAAGCGTTTAAACTCAACCCATCAGATTAGAAAAAAGAAATATTCTGTAACGTAAATCAAGTATGTTTACCACACAAAACATTCCGCTTTTGTTTGTTCAGGAATGATTACTTTACAATATGCATAAATAATAATAGTTGATATATTCATTGGATAGCGTAATTAGCTCCAGAGATTTAACGACTTTTGTTTCAAGTCGATAGTTTGGCTAGTTCCGGAGATACAAGGGTTCGAAGCGTTTGTTTACATTTTGTTGTTGACATTGCCGCAAAGCCATTGACCTCACACATAAATAGTAAACAGTAAATAGTCAATTCTTGGAAAGACATGCATTCTCAAGACTTGTATCTTTCATTTCTTTCAGTGTTGTTTTGTAAATGAGGGCCCAGCGTGGGTATTTCATCTGTTATCTATTTGCCATGCAAGCTTTCGAATGCTTTAGTGAGCAACTGTATGTACGCGAAGATCTAAAATACTCAGAAATAAATAGTTGAAACCAGTGCACTATTTTATTAAAAAATAATTCAAGTTTTATGTAAAAAATGAAGTGTACGTAAGTATGTGGCCGTCACTGTATGTGTAATTTGTGTAAAAAAAGAACGCGAGAAAGAAACAGAAATCTCTGGAAGTCCTTTTATTCTATTAGATATTGCGGTTTTGGGATATGTCTCATATTTTGGAACAGGGAAAATCGTAATCTTAAATGGAAGAGTAAACTCTCAAATTTACCTAAACTTAGTATAAGAAGTCATAATCTCAGAAGGAAAACAGCTGACAGGAGATGACTTTATCCTTCAGTAGGATAATGCACCTATCCATAAGGCGAGAATTGTAACAAAGTATTTATAAGTGCAATAAACATTTTAGAATGACCTCCACAAAACCCTGATCTTTCGCCAATAGAAAACATGTGGTCAATTTTAAAATTACACATTGCCGAAAATAGACCATGCAATATAAAAGAGCTACGAGGCGTTAATAGAGAAAATGGCAGTTATAATTATTATCAGAGTAAATTTATTGTAATAAAGTTGCCTGAAATCTAACCGTTCCTATTACAAAAGATTAAATTGAATGCAATGAATTACTATGAATTTTTTGTCTAATTTTACTAATAACAAAAATAATGTACCTTCGAAATAAAAGCGGTCCTCCCGCCCGTTCTTCAACATTATTAAAGACTGTCAAAGTACATGTCGAACAGTTTGAATCATTCTCTTCGGAAGGTGAGACAATTGGTGTTTCATCGTTAATTAGAGCACCTAGCGGATCATTTTCTGTAACTGGCGTGCGTATGGGACTTTTTAACGGCGATTCTAAGTTCCGAATCAACCTAAAAGCAACAAATCAACAAAATAATATAAAATCGTTTTTTTACAAATATATGAAGAGAATGAAAAACGAAATGAAACTGAAAAAAATGAGTCTTGCCAAACTTTTCTTGCCAAAATTTATATTTTGGGCCTTATCCAAATTTAACACCTTCTAATAATGGAATGCCCCAAAAATGTTAACGACCAATAGTATACTATACCAGATATTCGGCCATTCCTGGGAAAAATTTTAATGGGAGATACTAGAGGCCAAATAAGACGAAAATCAAAAATACACACACCAGGTCTCAATGACCAAGGCTCAGTTACCCCCCCTCCACAATCATGTAAATGTGTTGATTAACGTATAATAACAATTAGAATACTGTTTTAGAACAGCAGATATAAAAAAATAAATATTAACAGATGTTTTCAGTGGGTCGACACATCTTTGGTAAATTCAAATTCAAAATCGTCCATATGTCACGTATTAAAGCATCCTCATCGTTTCATATAAGTTGAATAAAAAATCGTAAGAAAAAATCGTGCGCCAGTGTGAAATCAAATTACAAAAGAATTTTGTATAAAATTTTGCAGTAGTCATTGTCAAATATAGACTTTAATCTCGAACATATTTTAGAGTAAAATTATCCTTACTTTCTCAGTCGCTCCTTGGCGTAAAAGAGTCTTCAAGGAAATTCAATTTAGGAATGTGAAAGTAAAAGATTCAATTTTTAAAATAACTCCAAGAAGATTATTGAACAATTGCTTTTTTTAAAGTTATAATAATTCAAGGATTAACAACCTTTCAACCAAGTATCCTCATATTTATGAGCGGCAGTGTGCACCGAACAACGTTTACGCCGGCGACTTGTCAACTTTGGAAGTTAATAATAAATAACAGAACATGTACCCCTGATCCTTTACAAAATTTTCCTAGTAATCTTTAGAGAGCTCTCCAAGGTCAAATAATTATTATTGCAATATGCCTCCCTTTTGATACTTTACAACTTTCGTCTCAAACATTTTTTCGCATTTTGCTATTTCAACTGAACAAACTGGGTATATGTACAGGAGCACACTCGCTGTGTAATTAATACGTCTTGTTTCAGTTATCTTTTATTTGATTTTAATTAAAAAAAAAATTATAGAAAAATCAAGATCAATGTATAATAAAATTGAAAAATTACCTCTGTGTCATCGCCAAATTATTAAACTCTTCTGCGTGTATAACATTTAATGCTGCTGTATCTTTAACAATACTATTTTGTCGTGGAAGCTTTCTCATTTCTAGAGGCCCGTAGTCCGGTAAATCCGTTGTTGAACTTCCTTTAGTCGCTGCAGATAAAGGAAAGTATAAGATAATAATAAACCTGCTCTAAAATCTAAAACATTAAAATAGACTAATTTACTACGTACAATCGCTGTGTGCAGCTTCTGTGTCTTGAGAATGCGAACTATCAAGGCTAGATCTAGAAAATGCATGTTCCATATTTGCAAGTTTACCATCAACGGTTAATAAATCTGCAGTTGAACTTAATCTTCTTTTAGCACTTTTTTTACCAGCTTCTTTAAATAAAGCTGCTCCAACTATAGCGTTTCTTAGTTTGTTCCACATCAATTGACTGGAATTAGTTACGTCAGATGGCCAAGTTGCTTCAAGTACAGCCTTTAAATTCAGTAAAAAAAATTATTTTGAATTTAACAAAATCTATATTTTGCTGAAAAAAATATTGTGATCGATAAGAAAAATTACCTTGTTATAAAACCCATATGTAAGAGCATTTGGTTGAACACCGCTACGTTTCATGTGAAATAATAATTTTACTGCTAGTACAGGTTGTCCGTAAACACCGCAAAGTTGCATCATAGCTCTGTAACAAACCTAAAATCGACAGTCTATGATAAGATTATGCAACATATAAAATATGCAACTTCTAAAATAATCACTCAACAAATCTGTAATTGAAACAATCGGTAATTCCAATAAATATTTTAACCTGAACTTTGTAATTATTATTTTAATAAATCATATAATCTTCTTGGAATGTAAACATGCAACGATATTCTATCATTTCAGAGGATATGACCTAGAAGAAACGAGCTACTAATATATTTTTTTATTTAATTCCTCTCATTCAAATGATTGTTTTGTGAAATTTTTTTTGTTGTATCGTCACATTCAACGACGATTTGTTGGGTAATAATCTTATGCCGGAAATACGCTACTGCTCGTGAACAGCTCGCGGCTGTGCTCGCCAGCAGTGTGGAGACTTTTGCAAACAACGAACAGCGATCCCTGTTCGCGCCGGAAGCGGTATATCAAAGGGACTGTTCACGAACTCGAAGTTTCCATAGATTATAATTGTTCGCAAGCTATTCGCGAGCTCCAGTGTGGAAACGTAGTTGTTTCCGTTGATGAACAGCTCGCGAACTACCTGTAAGCAGTTCATGAGCTGCTCGCGAACTGTTCTCTTCAGTGTATTCCCGGCATTAGGTGTTGCAACCTGCGCGCATACAAATAAAAAGGTTTACTTCTTCAATTGGTTCAAGATTTAATTTCGGCATTTTAACTAGTAAATCATAGGCCTGATGTAAAATCGCAGCCGGTTGGTTAGACACTTGTAACATAGCTGGCAAATGCAAGAACCAAAGACTATAACAGGTTCCAAGTAGACATCTACCCCACCTATCTGGCATTGCTGCCTGCAAATGAGATATTATTTATAGGGATGAATCTATAACTAATTATATAAAATTTTCAGCCTTTGTTATATAAAAAGCACAAATTCTAGTAAGAATAGTTCATACTTGTTTACGTGCCATCCTTTGTGCCACTTTAATTTCATGTTTGGTTCTGCGTGCCATAGGACTACCTGGTATTATTCCAAAGGCACATAAATTTGTGTTTTTTACATTGAAATGTTTCTGCGGTCTTATCAAGTCGTGATTTAATTTAAACGTGCGGTATGCAATTGGTGACTGATTTGGTCCTGCTTCAGGCGGAGGTATGAAAACAGTCCGTTCGCTGTGCTGAGATTCGTCCAACTCCAAAAGTGGCACTAAATAGTAAAATCAGTAATTACAAGTTACATTGGAAAAGTAAAACTGCATGTTCAAATAATGAGTTTTGTAATATCACGAGTACAATGAAACTTTCAAATTGGTTATATGAAAATTAATTGAACAAAGTTGCATCAAAGTGGTTTGAAGAATTAACGGTGCAGTAATGCTAGACCATACGCAACATCATTGCCTGTATACATGTAAGAGAATTATTCGTCGGACAATAAAGGGTTCCGTCTTCCCCAATTCGGTTGCAATACACTCATTTTTACAAACTTTAGTAGAATTCTGAAATAATTTCCTACGAATCTTCTTGTAAGTGAAAAATGCAAAGAAAGTCTGTTCATGGTAATAAAAGCTAACAATACTCTAAATCAATTCTAACAAAAATGTTAAAAAATGCAACCTCACCATTTTCTTCTTCAATGCGTTCGGTGCATTCATCAAAAAAAGCTAAACCCGCCATATCCATGTCAGATACGAAACTTCTTTCTTCTATAAATCTAAAAAATACAAACTGCAGTGATATTATACCAAAGGTAACTGAAAAACAGATAAAATATTTTGTGCAGTTAATGTTAACCACACAAATTGTCAAAATAAAGACTAATAAACTAAATATACAGCACATTTTATTCATAATAGTCACATTAAATATAAAATATATCATTCAGAAATAATACAATAAACATCAAAAAATAGTTGAGTTGTTAGAGTATATAGACATATGTGTATACAGGGTGTTTCACCTAATTTGAGCACCTTAAATATCTAATTTGTTATTGATGATAGAATGAAGTATCAGAGAAAAATCTTACTAGTTTGGAAGAGGTCAATATTATAATAAACAAACAATTTTTTTGATAGTCATATTTTTAGAGATTTTGAGGTCATCAGGATGTTTGTTATACAATGTCAAAAAATCGATGATAAGAAAAACATACCTTATGAACATTTGCGTCTTTACTAACATACTATAAAATTTTGCATGAGCCTTGTCCCGACTTCTGAGAAAAGCTTGTATATTGAACAAACTGGTTGGATCAGTTGAACCAACTGTTGGTGCTTTTGTAATTGGTAGTAAGAAAGCACGGTATCCTTTTAATATAGTAGCAGTAAATCGTAAAAAAGCATCTTGTATTTCAAGCTCTAAAGCTTGTTCTTTTCGTTTTTGTTGAAATTCTTTATCAACACTAAACTCTTCATCGTCCATATCTGAAAACAAAATATGTACAAACAAAAAAATGATATCGACATAAATTGAGCAATACTGCACACACCTTTCATAGACGAATAACTCTTTCCTAATGAAATCAACTTCGAATAGAGGTGTTCCAACCAATTTCTAAGCTGTCTGGCTGCTTTTTTGGGTAACAATTTTATATTTAAATATTTTTTATCGTCACAAATCGCTATATTATTCGTGTCCAAATTTACACAATTAACGTCTGCGGGTGGATCGTACAAATCAAAAAATCTTGAATCCACGCCAATTAAAAATGGTAATGGCGCATGCAGAACCTAAAATATAAAATACATTTTGTAATGTGCTACATATCTCTTCGTCAATTGACAAAGTAACAAGATACGTTACCTCTGCCAAGCCTAAGGGGCATAGAGGTATATATGGGCACTGCCATTTAAATGGAAATAATATCATAGCAATAGCTTCACTCACTGATGTAAGTACATCAGGACGTAGCGAATGTACAAGTATTTTCTGTTCAGTTAAGATTAGCAACAATATGAGTAAACAATTATCAGGTCCTAAATTGATGAGTAACTGCCGAAAACTCGCACCAGACCTAGGTAGTGCTAAATCTTCTGGTTGCGTTAAAATCAATCTGTTCTTACTATTTAATTGTATTTGAATTCTTGGTCTTTGTGGACTTGGGAACGGTATATCGTACAAAAAATATGCTATGTATTTTTCAATAGGAACGTTTTGGGGTTTGTTATTGACCATGCTATGCAGGTAAACTAAAAATTTCTCAAACGTGTCGAAAAATGGCCAATGAGATAGTATGCATATAGATTTACTAATATTTAAAGATTGTGTGACGGGGTCTGTATATTGCAACTTTTCCAATTGTAGTAAGGTAAGTTTCTTAAGTATTCCACACTGTTTAAGTGTTCTCATTTTCAGTTGCTGATTGTCAACTTCTGCATGTTCAACTGAAACAAAAATAATTTTACGACATAAATTAGCATAAAAAACTCACTTTCAACGTTAGTTTATTTTGTCTCTTCACAGTTCGAGAATGAGGTCAGACGTTATAGAAATGTATTACTGAATCATTTCCTAAACAATACCTATAGCATAAATCAAAGGTTTTCAACTCACATTCCCAAATATTGAAAATGTACGAACCTTAATCTTTATTTAGGACGTTCAATCTAAGTAGATTTAATCAATAGTATCGCTCGATGCATTAGCATAACAGTTCACAACGAAGAAGTACACATAGGTCAAAAAGTGTTATTTTATTTGGTTTAGAAGACAAACTGAAAAACGTGAGTTCTAAAATTGTGAATAATTTACAACAGCAACATCTAACGATTTTAGTTACTACGAAACTGATGCGAATATCAGATCGAGCCGAAAAATAACAATTATAGAATCAAAATATATAATATTGATTCTTAAGAACCGAAATCGAAACTGATATAAGCCAGAAACGTTATATATGTAACAATTATCAAATCATTTTGGTTTTTATGACTATTTGAAAAGCCAAAACTGACGCTATAATTGTTTTCGATGCCTGCCTATATCTCAAATAAGAAGTTTCAGATTATAAAATGGCAAGAGACATTCAACATGTGTAAATATATACAATGGTTGTTAAAATAACGTTCAATGTATGACTATTAAAATAGGATAAAAATGTATGAATGTATTTTCATACCAGAAATCTTCAAATTCTCCATGAATTCTTCAACTGGTTGATTTTCTTTCGTATTTCTTTGAGTATCCATTTCTACTTCGAATTCTTCATAAAATGTTATTGCAGAACCATATATTTTTTGGGCTGCATCAGCAACTGTCAAGACAAATGTCGAAAACACTGGTTTAGGTTTACATGCCACTTTGGGCCAGCATTCTACTGTTGCTCCCATTGGTAAGCAGAACATTGCAACAGAGTTTGGAAAACCAAAACTGCTATAATCTCCCATTGGGTATTTATACAGTACAGCAGGTTTAAATGATATTAAATTTGCACGATTCATAGATTTCTTGTAGCATAAAAATACATCGCTTCCCAACATGCCTTTGTTCAAATTTTTATTGATAACACAAAACGCATGTGGAGGAGTTTCTCCTTTATTTGTTAGGATAACACATATATCTGTCACAACTAAAGAATTGCATGGCATTTTACGACTTGCACGTCTAAATGTCACAAATATTCTTGATGTTGAATTATTCACATTTGCTACGTATCCCTTTGGAGTTTCCAACACCATTTCTGCATCTTGCATTATACGTTCTTTGCCATCATATATTACGCCTGAAATTTATACATCTTGTTAAATATATTCTATACAAAATAATGGTAATTAAATTTTATAAAATCACAAATTATTCAAAGCACAGTTATTTAAAATATATAGTAGAATCTCGATTATCCGAGGTAATGTGGAACGGTACTCTTTCGGATAAACGGAAGGATTAATGTGTTCATAAATCGTAGAATAAAATCATGAAAAACATTTTGCTAATGAAATATTTAAATTTAATTATGTAGTTATTTAATAGAATGAAAACTTATTAAACTGTAATTCAATAAAAAAAGTATTCTGGTTATGAAACTATATTAATTAGAATGAGAAATTATTATTAAATATTCATTTCTGTTTATTTATATTATATTTAATACCCAGACTTCAAAAATGTGTTTCAATAAAAAATAGAGTCATTCTAATTATATTGTTTTAGCCATCAGGGGTGTGCGGGATCTTGAAAATGTTTGGGATTCCCAAAGAAATTCGGGATCGAGTAAGTAATCTTTTCGGATTCTCGCGCGTGTCTGAAAACTATGCCAAACATTAAAAGCTATAATCGTTATTGAAGAAAATGAATATCTAAACAGCATTTAGATTGTCGATATTTACGGGAATCCCGATATCTTCAAGATTCCGTCCCGTCCCGAGTTTTCAACCTCTAGCTTTAGCTATTATACGGCTATAAAAATGACAAGTTTTGATACAAATTACAAAAAAACATATAATCATAAATGAAAAATAAGTTTATTCATATGAGAATAATAATCTAAATATTATCAATAATATGCCAAATATAATATCTTATGAGAAGATGCATAAAACAAAGAAAATTTTTTCTACTACAATATACATTTAAAGTATTTTTTGTATGCGTTTATGTACATATTCTATCATGCAACAAGGAAATTGATATTATATAGTGAACGTTGAAAGTTGAACTTTAAAATTTATATTTTTTATGTCTTTAAATGAGAGTTGTACGTTAAAGAGACTTAAAAGATTTGAAGATTCACTTTGCAAAGAAATACACGCGTATAGATTTTGTTATTCGATCTTAGGATACTTAAAATTTTCTGCATAATATTCCAAATTTTGTCTTACCTATATCAACTAAAGGAGGTTTGTCTCGTCCTCTCCGGTAACATAAATAACATTCATTTGTTCTCAAACTTCCATGGTTTAAATCAGCAGGTAACCCTGTAACAGTATTTTCTAACAAAATATACCCATCTGGACACTGTTCACCTAATGCAGGGAATATAATGGCAAGATCAGTAATTGGAGCTTTCATATGCATGTCTTTGACATGCGTTCCTTCTTGATACCAATCTTCTAATTTTTCTTGACTTTCATTGTCGCTATCAAAATCATTGTCTTGACCAGGTAAACCAGCAATGACAAAGTAATCTGCTACCCTCCTTTCGTCCATGATTATCTAATTATAACGGTGTATAAACATTTAGAATGTATAGAACGATTTAATCTATAATTTTTTAGAATAAGGAAATTTACCAACTTCAAACAATAAACTTCCTTACATGGCATTGAAATAATCCCTTCCAAGCTTCTCCCATATAATTTAGAATTATTGTTGTTGCTTTCCGTTAATAATAATTTTATTTAGATAATAATCTTTAAATAAATTATTTTGTAAATACATCCTATAAATAGATCAAACTAATCATTATCTAACTATTAGTCCTGGTATCAATATATTAAATATTGATACAATACAAATAACTGAATTACCTCTCAAACAGAAAACTTATTCGAATCATTACAATTTCCTTAATTAAATGTTTGTTTGAAAGTTATCAAGATTATTATTTAATAGAAGCATCAAACTTAAAGTATGAGAAAAAGAATATATTTGTAGATACGTTTACACTAGTCACAATTAATTCACTAAAAACCTGTTTTTTTTTAAATACACAATGAAACGTATACTGATTTATATTGCTCGTATATTTTTCTGTATGTACAAGATGTTATGAAATAAATAGTTATTTTTTTGTTAAATCTTGATGCTACAAAACATCAAGATTGTATTGATATTGTTTGCACATATTCACTAATATTCGTTGTATCTTAACAATGACATCAAAACGTTTTTCACAATTCGTTTTGAAAGTTAAATATTTCTAGGTTATGTGTCATACCAACTATGTACATATATGCGTTTACTCTAATCACGAGTGACGTTATTGAAATGTCATACAAATTTTCAATCGAAAACTAAACTTTCCTGGACTTTATATATTTTCTCGTCATATGGCTAAAACAAAATGTTCTACTGAAATTTAGAGACGCAACACATAATTTCCAAATAAGAATCACAAGCGTATAAATTAGTAAAACTACAAAATACCTCCAATTTTTTGTACGATAAGTGTTTAAATTCAATTTTATTTTTACTTTTGAAAAATATATGTATACAACTGCTTTTTATATTTATATTAACTCTTGCAAAGTACCATTGCACAATGCATTACTAAGTGCCACAAATATACATATTAAATCAAAGAAAGTTGTAGTTAGCTAATAAATATTAATAAATATTCCAAGTCAACCGGATTAGCATAGGTAACATATGATGCGCCTGTGCATGTTTCTTAAATGTTGTAACATCGCTAAGGTTTTGTTTATTCCCCTAGAATAATTATAATAATGTAATAACTTTATGGTATAGTTATTATGTATGAATGTTGAAATAAAAAAATTAATCTTTCAATTAAATGAAAAGATAGTGACATATACATACCTTATTGTCAAATATATTTACTTAAAAAATCATCTTATATTATATGAAATAGACATAGTTTAAAGGTAGAGATTACATCAAATACATTTATTATAATATCAAATTTCTATACTAAAACTTGTAAAAATTGTATAATTTAGAATATATGTTGTTATTTAAACGTTACAATTTTCGATAAAATATCTTGAAACATATAGAGAACAATAATTTGTAATGTTGGATACATTGGTGAGCAATGTTTTCTGTTTCATAAATTTATGTTTATTTATTTGTTGAAGTTACTTAGAAAGTGTAAAAGTAATTTTGAAAATTATAACATCGATAACAATAGCAATTATAATTTGTTAACACTTTATTTACAAGAATGTATATACAATATACAATTAGAAACGGACCACCATATCACGGCTATTTTAAATAATATGAGGAAGTATTTTTGACAAATATTGTATATTATCAAAGGGAACATGATACAGTAATAATAATTTTTTTACAAGTGAAGACATAGGGACGATTTAAAGGTCAAATTCGTTTTTCAAAATAGGATATCTAATTCTATGGTAAAACATAATAAAATAATCTAAGAAAAAATGTATTATGTACATCTATTATAAAATTTATAGTTTCCGAGATATTCTGCTACTAAATTATAATTTTTTGATGTCATATGTATGACCGGGTGTATTCATTTCGACCGTTTGAAACGGTATATGGTGCTCAAATGCAAACTTTACCCCTTCTTGACAAGATCTATCATATAGCTCTAACACAGTGTTACTAGATCGCGCACTGGGGGCATCAGGAATTTCTCGTTTCACTTTCGCACACTATGCTCGATTACGAGTATACGAGATCAGCCTTGCAAATAAAGCTGCAAGAGTCCGATGTTGCATTGGATAGACAGAAACACGCAAATGTTGCGTACCCCTTCTATCAAGTGCAAAATCAGACTCTTGCATCTTTATTGTTTCTTGTACAGCATGGCCAGTACTGCAGTACTGGACTTGGCTGCGTGTAGATCAGTGTAAGTACATAGTCAGTGATTTAGTCACAAATAAGCACTTGTGGTGACCAGAGATTATCGCTAGTAACATAGATGGTGCATCCGAGCTGAGGAATTGTCCTAGCGCGTCGCCATATCTTTGTTACGCTATCGCGTGAATTCGAGTTTAGTACACATAGCGCCGCCACGGGAATCTATTGGAACTGGATTAATCACCATCGAGTCCGCGATTCAAGTCGGGAAAACAGAATATTCTAAACTTACTTAACGGCCGCGTTCAGGATCGGTGGGTCTACGATACAGACGTGACTTCTCCGCTATTTTTGAGGATTAAAATTTCGAGACCTATTTATTTAGCAAAGTACCTACATTACAGTCATTAAGGGAAATTCTAAACTCCATGGGCATCAACCCACCTCCTTATCCCCCTAGACCGCCGATTCGGACGCAACAAGTGATTGAATATAATACTTGCTAATGTATAAATATAACGGTTAATACTCGAATAAGCTTGAATACAATATTTAGTGATGTTGCGAGCGGTTTCCACAATCTAGTTATTTACTATATAGTAACGAACTATAAGTAATGTAGGGACAAGAGGCCAGAGTGGAAGAATGTTACAAGGGTACGCCTAGTTACCTAGAGGGCGCTTACTCGCTAGGGATGTGTCCTAATTCGTCATCACGGTAGAAGGTGGCGACACTGGTGACGTACGAGGCGTCGCCCTAGTCTTGCACGAATCGTTCGTAGAAACAGTAAAAATATAGTAAAGTTCCACCGTACAATAAATTATAAATACTTGTAATATTTTAGTAGTAGGTTGTTGTATTCCCCTTAATAATACTTTATTAAAAGTCAGAATACTAATTTAAGAACTAACGACGTACAATACAACGGACTGCTCGTAGACTAAACTTGTGCTTGTGTAATTGCAAAAATTTACTTCTGTCTAATGGACAAAAGGTGTTTTTAAAAATTTATATTTAGAATTACAAAAATATTTAAAACAAACTTAGCAAGTTACAATACATATATGTATAATAATAATGCCATTCTTTTATCCGATCAGTATGTCTTAAGTAATTTATCGATCTTTAAATATTAATAACTTTTAAATAAAATCTCAATTAACAAATTACTATTTTTGATTTTCGTCTTATTTTGGCCTCTAGAATCATCCCTTAAATTTTTTACGTATAGATGCCGAACACCCTGCGTAAATTAGCCTGCCTAGCCAGGAGGTTTAAAAAGGAAAGTAGATGTAAACAGAAACATAATACGAGAACGGAGAAGTAAATCAAAAGGCGCAGTTTTCGTAATAAGCGCCCGTGAAAACTAACACCACAGTTCGCCGCGAGAATTATTTCGATCCTCGGCGAAAACGAGACAAGATGAATGCGCGAGACCCGAAACACGATATCCAGAAGAAGAAGAAGAAGCGCGCGTTCGCCATGAGGGTCCGAGGGCCGTCGGTCAAAGGGTCAACGCGGGATATCGTCGACGTTAGAATACGAAATGAAAAGACGCGCATAAACAACTTCCTCGCGATGCATTCAATATTATAACGCGTTGCCGCGGAGACATACCTGCGGGGCAATGAATTTTAAACTGCAAGGAATACGTCGCGCGGCGTCGGTCAGAAAATCTAGCTGAATTTATTCAAATCCCTATCGTTCTCCCTCACGTGCCACGGAGCAATAAGTCACTGTCGCGGTTCGGCTTTATGAATAATGCAACACGCGGGGAGGGGGAAACTTATTTTCACGGAAATACGGACAAGATAGCGAGAGACCGGTACAAAGATAAGTACCAGGGAGACCGGTGTAAGTTAACGCCTACTTGACTTGTATCACCTCCGAAATTTAACATAAAACGATAGAATTGTTTGTCACTCCGTTCAATGTCGTTCGACAATGTATCAGGTCGTCTCATAAATTCGTGCCGATTTTTCTACTAGAATTAATCTTAAGCTTATTTTCCAATATATTATTTAAACGCATACATTTTTCACCAATTGATCTGTACAATAAAATTCATCGTTAAGGGGGTAGTCTCGTGTGAGAACTGAAAAAAATCAATTTTTTATTTCATTTTTTGGAAGTACATGTATATGACTAGACTTGAGCTTCGACGTTAATTTTAACTCTCTATTGTATGCGTCTCCCAATATTGCCAAGTAATTATTTAACAAGTAGCTTCTCTCGACTCGTTCTCTCGTTCCTTGCGTCGATCACTGCTGATCGACATCGCGTCTCCCTCGATTTACCTTCATCCCTTTTTAAACGAAACAATTACTTGGTACAACTAAACTAGAAGATCGAAGGAACATTGCTTCTTTCTGGTGAGACCTGGTAATCGATGTTACCCACGATAAAAAAGCTTTTCTATCATGGCTAACACCGAGCTAATGGCTGCGAATTTAGAATTGTTTCTTGATACAATAAACGAATTTAGATTTATAGTTAGACAGGTGTTTGGTTAGGCAGGTTATTTTTATTCGAAGACAAATTCTTTCGACTCTCTTCGTTGGTTGTACATCTTTCATTGGTTGCACTTTGTGAATTCCGTATTCAAAGGTTTTATCCTCGAAAAAATAACCGCGCGCATTCACACTGTGTATTTATACGATGCACTTTGTCATCAGCTCGGCGACCCAGTAGTTACGCCATAGTTAAGCGGGGGCACGTGCACACGCATAAAGGCAACGCGGGGGCCGGGCTGTCCCGTTTATCACGCGACGCAAGGGACAGAACACAGAAGGAGCTCTGACAAATATCAGATACTGCATTACCGTGGAGCACCAACACCGCATGGAATCAATTGTAAAGAAGTTATTGCGACCAACAACCGCGAGTTACCTGTTCGAAGCTACTTTAAACTTCGAGGTGCGCGGGCTCTCCCGCTTTACTGACTCCAAGATGGATCCCCCAGTCGGAATGGATAGAAATGTTCAACTTACGAATTACGTCTGGGGGTTGCTATTAAGAATCATTACTGTAGTTAAAAATCTATTTCTTTGTAACAAATTTATGTAATCCCTATTATTACAAAAGTAGTTAACAATGTCTGCGATTTCATTGAAAGTATGAATGCTGAAAAATATAAATTCACATATGATAATATATTTGTACAATTAGTATACTTTTATTAATTTTACCAACAAGCAACGGTTGGAATAGGCACGTGCTATAAAGACAAATGAAACTTGGAAAATGACGACGATTGGAAGAAAGTTGAGAATAATTGTTTTAACCGACATGGCAACGCTTAGACCGCGACTTTGTACGCGGCGCTGAGGGTTCGACGAAGAGGAAGGATCCGGTTAAAGCGAGTCGTAACCGTGCGTCGTGGTCGCAGGACCGCTGGTAAGAATTACGCTCCATCCTTGCCCCTTGGAATTATGGCGAGTTCGTCCTTCTTAACTTCGCGGCAGGAATTCCGAGATAACGAGTGCCGAATAATAACGTTACCCTCGCGCAAATGACTCGTGTCTCGGGCTAGTCGGCAACCCGAGCGGCTCATATTTTTCTTGCGCGATTACGAATGGTAATCCGCTTTCGCGGACGCGCTCGGAAACTGTTCGCGCGGCTAGGTATTGTAATTTCAAACCGGACGCTGGCCTTAGGAAAACAGCTTCCTCGCGCTCCAAGTGGGTTTAATTCGCGCCCCATGCCCTTCGAATCTTTCGCGAATTTGTTCGGTGCCATTGGAATTCTGTGTCCTATCTTGGATTCTGGTAATTGTGTATTAAAGTAGAATTCCATAAAAGACGTGTCTCCATAAATCTCTGTGAATCCTTTAGGTGCACGTCATAAATACATAAACAATATCTTCTTTAATACAGAAGAAATAACATAATAAATGTTGTAGCTGACACATCTGTGGAACTATTGTTTTATTTATATAATTATTATCCGCATTAAAGTAAAACTACAGCGATACGTTGGAATGTTGTTATACGTATACTTATGATACGCAATGATTTTTCATTTTAATGTCACGCGTTACTTCCAATTTACAGTACGATATTATTTTTATTATTATTTCAGAATATTGAGCTTACTAATACATTTTACGTAGGCATAGATAAAAGCATGAACAAAGCTAAACAAAATTACTACAAATTGCTCTACAGTAAACGGTTTTTCAAGTAATAATGAAAAGGCTATTTTCTTTTTATTTATCAAATATATGTTATGTAGTGTTATAACCTATACAAAATATCTTATGCATATTCTTAGTCACGTACTTCTTGTATATGTTCATTATATCACAATTTATTACCCCAAAGTGTCTGAAATATGTCAGCTCGTAAAGTTATGAGGCTTAAATTGCACAGTCTGCGACGATTATTCGTCGAAGAATGTGAAGACGTACTGCAAGTTAAATGAGATATTACTTGTTCCGGTTCGCGGTATTCTAATGAAACAGCAGGTGTTATTTAGTTGTATCTGTTGTTGAACGAGTACTGATTGGTTATACGAACGTGACTGTGAAAGTATTTCAGTACTTTAGTTGATTCCAGTGGTTTAGATTCATACACTTCGTTACAAGCTAAGCTTAGCATTGCTATTACACTGTAATACGTACATCTAACATAAGAGATTGTTCTTTCGTTTAAAAAATAGATGTAGATACTTTTAAAATATCGAAACACAATTATGTCCTAAATTAACGTGAAATTACTATAATTTTAAAACTTTAATTTAAATATGGCGCCGGTTACCATCATCCAATCACTATGAAATTTTGCATATATCATTTTCTTCCCTAGTATCACAATTTAGACGGGTAGCAAGGCAAAAAATCAGAAGTTGAAAAATAAAGACCACCCTGGTACGCATGTTCCGTAAAATCAACCACGTTTCTTGCTACTTCGTAACGTTAAGGTAAACACGAGCAGTTAAAGTTGCGAGTCGTCGACCACGTGTTTACCACATTAATCTCGTCCGTTTACATCTATACGCTATCCATTGCTTTGCTGCAAATGCACTTGCGTGACCTTTTTTTTTTATTTCCAAACTTAAAAAAATTGCTCGGCGGACAACGGTGCATGTCGAACGAGTAGGTCACCGCCCAAACAGATGCCTATTTCGAGGACCTAAAAAAGTTGAGGAAACGCTTGGAAAAGCGTATAGAGCTAAAAGGAGATTGTGTTGAAAAATAAAAAAAAAATCTACCTAAAATAATTTGCTTTTCTATCTTTTTCTAAGGACTTATCGAACATGACCCTCGTACCTATCAGTCAGAATTGATACTATGTCTCATGCACTGTTTTTTATACGATAATTTATTTTATGTTAAAAACGTTAAAATACATCTCCTATATTATAGGTATTATCAAAAATTCTAAAAAACTTCCGTCAAAGATATTTGCATACGTTGCGTGATTAATTGCTGACCGTCATGATATGTTGTTTCGTTTAAACGGAAAATTATTCTATGCGTAATATACTTAACGCGCAGCCGTAATCCCCTCGTCGATTACGACAGAGAACTTGTACCTTTACCGTGGTCGAGTAATTGGTCCCCGGGAAGTTCTACCTTTACATCAATTGCCGCAGCCTTCACTCTTCGTTCACTTGATTAGAGAACTAAATCCCAAACCGCTAACGTAACTAATTCACTAATGTATCCAAGTTCCACGGCATCTTATCTTCTCTTTGGCCCTAGAACGCTAACGTCGTCATTTAATTTACTTTGCTCCGTGCGTACTTCCTGCTGCTTTCTCCTTACGTCGTCTTATCTCTGCGCGCTCATTTACATATCTCGATCTTTTACGCGTGCAAACTGTCTATCGCCTCTTTCGTTTCGAGAATTCTTTTCTTAACAGAAACGAGTGATTAAGTGAACGTGTAAGATTCATCTCTTATTGAAAATAGAAACAGAATTATAACTGAGAATATGTATAATGTCGAATGCATATGTACGTTAAAAAGATAGATTGCTACAGGATGCCATTAAAATGATGTACATTTTTAATAAGAACTCGAATCAGTATTTTATCGTTGATCCGAATATTTCACTTTTTCCTTTCGATCGCAAGTGTAAGTTAATTCAACCGAAGCGTTAAGAAATTAATTCTGATATTATCAACATTACTCTAAAGGATTATTTAATTTAATAATTCGTTTTGTAATAAAGCATCGCACCACCGCATCAAGAATACAGAGTCGACAGTGTGGAAACGTTCGGTTCTTTAACAGATTTTATAAATAATTCGTGATATATAAAATGAACAGAGCTTTGGCATTTCAAAACATTAAGGACTCATCTGTTACATTCAATATCAACTTGGAAAGCAAAAGGAACAAACTGAACTACCTTCGTATTCCTGTTTCCCAATCTGAGTATCTTGCGTTCATTTAAAAGTAAAATCGACTCGCACCGCTCTTAATCTCGGAGTATGACACATAATCGCGACTCACCTGCCACGCGAGTTCATCTTGAATTTTACATAACGTTTACTTATCGTACAAACGTACTTCCGGTCACGCTTAATTTTTAGCATCGGACATAACTGGTTTCCCATTTAATATTCCATCTCATGATTCATTTCACAAACTCGTTTGATAATAGCACCAGTCCGGATACAGCAATTACCTGTTTGTCACTTACATTCACGCTCCAAAGAAATTATAACGTTAAAAAAAAAAAAATGGTTATCATATAATATAAATCCTTCCGTTCACTTTATTTTCACAAAATGTTTATCCGCCAAGCGGAGAAATCCCCGACGTCGAACATTTAACACTGATCGCTAGGCGACGACGATTACGAAAAGATGAATTACGTTAATGGTATCGTGAATGGTATTAGCTTCTAGTAAAAGGCTTTTAATCGACTGTTTAGTTTTTAATACGAGAGTAGTGTTTAGCGGTTCGAGGATTCGTGAAAGTACGAAAAGCGTGAACGGTGAACGACGAGTCCTTGCGTGTGCAAAAAGCATGATTCGCGGACAGCGTGTCGTCGAAAAGCTACTGGCGGCGGTTCTAACAATAAGTTAGATCCAAGGTAGGTGCCCGCCATGTTACGGTGTACAAATGAATCGAAGAGGTTTGGAAGGGAGGCTGCGTGTGCGCAGTGAAAAGCCACTCGAGAAGTGGCATTCGGAATTAGAGTGCATGCCGCGGTGTTCCTTCTGAAAAGCACGTTTATCAAACTTCTGTTCCAGGTGACGGGTTAAGTGTAATTGAAATTTTAGGTAAGTCCCAACAGCCTTTAACACTCGCTGTGTTCTTCGAGCATGCGACGAAGAAAGCTCCTAAAACTCCGTCCTTTCGATTCGAAAATCTTCCAGTCCTCCAAGAACAGAGTTACAACTTATTTATCGATAACCATCCGTTGCACGAATTTTACTTTGTCTTGATCAATAATTTAGGCAAATAACTCGTTGGATTTGCAGACGTATTAATACCGTATTAATACCGAGTACCGTTTTCTCGACGGACTTAACAGTTTCTATCGAGTTCGTTCTCGGAACGAAAGGAACAGGAAGAAATAATCACGTTCCTCGAGTTCGTTCGGAAATAAATTTTTACGAGGCCAAAATTGTCTTCGTAACGTCGTCGAAACGACGTTTGAATTTTTAATAGAAAGACGGGAAGGAAAATTCTGAGAACTAAAAGCACACGCCTGTTCTCGAAAATACGAAATTAAACGTAAACCTAAGTCGGTCAGGAGGCGTCGTTGATTGCGATTCAACGGAAACTATGTCACAGAGCTTATAAGCGACAAGCACCAATGGCGACAACGCCCTGCGTCTAAATATATCGGAGTTGTTGCGCGCACTCGAAGATTTTCGTGCGTTTTTCATGACACGTTCCCGCAACTGTCGCGACTGATACGCGCTGAAACGACACTATGAAAGAGGCGCCCGAACGATGAACGATCGAACGAAAAAGAACGCATCAATCTGGACGCGTTTGGCAGACTGACAGTAGAGATAGGGCAAGTTCAACATACACGGTACATCTACCAAGTATTAGGATCGATTTTTTTTTAAGAGACAATCTGATCTCGATTTATGCCGAATTTTATGAATATAATTACGGGTACTTGAAAATAGATCTTCGTTGAACATAACCTTGTTATACTGTATACTGTAGTCATAGATTCGAACGTCGAACAAAGATCGACCATAAAATTAGATCTTGGAACGGTTGAAATGTTTCGTTGAGCGTTTGGAAGTGAAACAGTAACGTGATCGAACACTTTCCGCTTGCATGGACAGTTCCAAAATGGACGGGAGGCATTGACAAAAGGGTCGTTCCACGTGAAATCGAACACCTTTTAGAGTAATTATCAAATTATGTACAGCTTTGGGCATGTTGTAGTCTTTAGCGATATTTAGACGTGTTTCGAAGGATATTTCAAAATTTTAAATTTGTTTAAGTTACCTTTTTTTTTTTAAAAAAAAATTATAGCTGCTTACAATGAAAACAGAGTATTGAAAAAAATTGTTTTCCACCATTTTTCGATGGAATGAATCTTTTACACTTTTCTCGTTCAACTGAAACGATCGACCAGAACGCAATGCATAATTTACAAGGAAAATACCCTCGTGGAATCGTTCCAAACGATTTTAACTACTTCGAAATCACGATTAAATTTATACGATAAAATATATCGGAGATGTTCAGTTTGCGACTCCAAAGTTGTTGACCACGGCTTCTTTTATTATTACCACGGAACGAAGTAATTTCATCAATAATCCAAAAGAAGAAAACAAAAGGTATAAAATAATGTGCAATGTATAGGCAAATGTTTTTTTTTCACGTCTGAAACAATAGAGTCGACGAGCAAAACGTCGAACGAGAATTTGACAGACCAGAAGCCTCCTTCGGTAGGCTTAAATAAATAACGGAACTCAATATTGGAGGATTGATTTTAGACGGATGTAAATGTTTACGCGCGCCGAGAATTCGGGCGTGTAATAGTTTCCGTTTAGTTTACACAAAGTCTTACGGTTAAGTGCTCGTTCAGATCCCAGCAGTCAGCAGCTTGCAACGAATCGCGTATACGTGATCTTCTTGCAAATAAACCTGCGTCGACCCGTACGCTGGCTGCCTTTGAAGCTAATCCGAATATGTGTCCGTCATGAATTTTTCGAAAGAAAATTCAACAAAATGTTGATAAGAAAAATTTGTTCGCTGCATTCGATGGCGAATGGAAGCCATAAATAAAGATTTTAATTCAATTTTTATTAGATTATTTTACTTTTTATTAGTAATCACTAAAATAGAAATGAGACTGCTTAATGGGTGCTATTAAAACTCGACATAAAATAATTTGAAGTAAAAAGTCAATGAAATTATTTAAATTTATCTCAATGGATATATCTTTGTCTATTATTTATTGCCGTTAAAAAATTATTTAGTGATTATTGACGCACGTTTGAACAAAAAGATGCCCGGGTATATTGTAATTTTATTTATTTCCGTGGAGATTATCGGTTGTTTTTAATTCTATACATTTTTGTTTGCGATATAGCGGTGTGATAATTAAAAAATAGTTTTCAAAATATTTATGAGTCTTATAAAATAAATAGCGATTGGTTATCAATCTGAAACGATTTTTATTATGGCATTTGACTCGTACGTTTTGTCACTTTCGGAGCAAACATAATTCTATCACCTATACATTGTATTTATCATTGTACATATTTCTCATCCGTGTACTTAAATGATTATTGTATTTTATCAAACCTTTCATTATTTTTACATATCTTTTAAATTTCTATTACTTCGTATTTAACTTATTTTTACTATCATTGTATTTTTTTACTTCAATGTTATATTTATTGCTTCCATCAGTTCACTTAAATGCTATATGATTTATCTCATAATCTTATTACCGGCTTTATAGATTATACAATAATTATGTTTACTTTGAAAATGACTCCAAACTTTTTAAAAAGATTAACTTTTTTAGAACCGATAAGTGGTCGTTGTTATTATATCAACGAATATGCTTTATTATAAAATAATTATACATTTGTGGGCTTGGTTGCAAAGTGCAAATTAGCCCTCGGGAAAGAATGAGTTTGACATGCTTTATTGTATATGGATTGTTGAGGTTGGTTAACAAAGTTTGCTACGAGTTCTTACTTTCAATTGTTGTTACAGGTTAATTGTTGCTTTCTCCGCGTAGAATGATTACAAGATGTTGATCAAATGTCTCCCGTTGATCTTGTTCTCCTGTGCTCTAGGATTCCCCAAAAGGGTTCATATAGGTAAGGAAAAGTACTTTGTTTTACTTACGGACGAATTAGAACAAAGAAGTCTCAAAGTATTCAAAAAGTCCCTTTTCCTTTAATTAATCATTTATTAATTTTACATCTGTCCAAATTCATATTTATTTGACGCAATAAATATCCTTTGATCCGATTAAAGTAATATTAATTACATTTAAGTATAATATTTGGGATACATTTGTATTATAATCTGTATTCAAATCTGTTATTCTTATAGAAACACTAAAAGTGGAGACAATATAAGATTTTATATTCTTGCCAATTATGCGAATATTAACCCTTAACCATAGAAAACAAAAAGTTATACTACGGGAATATGTAAAGAATTTCGTTTCATTTTCTATTTATTTATCGTTATTATAGTTCGGGACAATATTTCGTATTTAATAAATTAAGGTTACAAACAAAATTGTTAAACTGCAAAGGTTAATTTCTTTTACACGACATTGACAAAATATTGTTAAAAGCCGTGTTGATTTTTCAAATTTAGATAAACATTTTTTTTGCCCCGTATCTTTTTTTTACACAAAGATGTTCCTATATTTGCACGACGCTTAAATGGAAAGTGAAACAAGGTTAGCGTTAAACGCGTGAAAGGAAAATGAAGAAAAATCGATTCGTTTAGCTTCCTAGGTTCGCATACACCGTCGGAATAAATTCGTAAAGAGAGACACGCCTGTTTATGTGCAACTCTTTCAGGAGGATTGTTCGACGATGGCGAGGAGATACAGAGAACCTTCGAAACGTCCGTGAAATCAGTGAACAAAGAACGTTTCAAGAACGCGGAGTTAGCCAACGTGTTTCTCGTAGCAAAATCTAACCAAGTTGTAACGGACACGTTTGAAGTGTTTTTAAAAGGTAGAGAGCTTTCGGGTTCAAAGGTTTGCGTTTACATTTTTCACCGTAACGTTATTCGATGCGATCGATTCTCATTGGAATGTTTCTAGTATGCGAGCTGATGGGCACGGGAATCGCTGCGATTTTCGGTCCCCAGAATGTGGTCACTTCGGAACACGTACAGAGTATATGTGACACTATGGAAATGCCTCACATTTATGCCAGATGGGAGCCCATGCAAATACGCGGCAAGGGGATTAACTTGTATCCTCACGCGGAAACTCTCTCTGTGGTACGTGGAATGTGACGAGTTTCGCAAGTTAAATCGAACAATTTTCAATGTTAGGAGGATGTTAAAAACGCCCAATTTAGAGAGAAACAGTCAAAAATCAAATTTTCAGTAAAATAGTTCTTATTTACGCATCATCGATACGTTAGTCATATTTGTACATTGAAAATGTAATTTCTAACTGTTAAATTGAAAGAAATATTTTTCTATACATATAATAAAGACGAAACAAAATTGTTTGAATAACTTGTAGTGATAACTTTGTTACTATTCGTTATTGCTTACCGATTCGGAAAACAAATTATCTCAAGAAAGAGCATTCAGGAGCGGATGAAGTTTATACTAATTCAAACTGTATAACATGAACCGATCTTAGTGCAAAAATGAAAAAAATATAGGTATATGTTTCGAGTTTTTGTAATCCTCTTTAGCGATTGGGAAACACGACAAAAAAGTAATAAGATTAGAATCATTGGAACTTACCCGTATCATTAAATGTGAGAGTTTTTAATTATTAAAATTAAACCAGAACACTTGATATGTTGCTTGCTTTATCATACCGATAATTATTTTTCAGAAGCACTTGGCACCGTGATTTCATCAAAGAAATATTTTCTATGTTATTAGATTTTCGATCTATTGATTACGGATTTCGAATGGAAATCGTTTGGAATATTATACGAAAACACCGACAGTTTAATTCGTACTCATCGTTTGTTGGAACGTTGGGATGCCCGCGGTCATACGATCTTTCTGTACCATTTAGGATCTGGTCCTAGTTACAGGTACGTAAATTTATATTAATTCTTATACTGTAGCTCACGAATTGTTCATCGTTGCACCGAATTTCGTACAGGAAGGTGATGCGAGAGATAAAAGACGCGGAAATCGAAAACATTATTATCGATTCTTCCATCGAGATTCTCGCAGAGGTGCTGAAACAAGCACAGCAAGTCGGTATCATGTCGGAGAAGAATAAGATCATAGTGACTTCACTGGTAAAGTAATTTTCTCGTTCTTTTATATGGCACGAAAACAATCAAATTGCCAATAGTTACGCAGTTTATCGAATCGTTACATTCATTTACATTCTTCTACAATTTCTTCGCTCGAGACTTCGTTTTCGAGAAAATGGAATTTGAGGTTGTTGCCCCACTACGCAATGCGATTTATTTATCGTGTATTCGATTACCAGCTATTAGAAATTCTAAGCAAAATTTGAAAAACGATCATTCGACCAGTCGCGTTAGGTTTAGTATTAAATAGAAATATCCCACTGATTGCAGTAATTAAGACATATTAACAGGTTGATATTAAAGCAAGTAAAGAATCGTAGATGCCGGATGTGCATCGGGATTGAGTTTTTACCGTGGAAATTGCTTTTAATTACCGTTGCCTTTTAGTTTTCGACGAACAGTTTAATAATCGAGTATCATTGAACGGTTCGTCGGTTGTACGGTCGTTTCAGGACTTTCAAACGCTCGATCTGGAGCCGTACCAATTTTCCGGCGTGAACTTTACGGGAGTACGTCTGATCGATCCCAACAATAACATCGTACAGAATATCGTGAGAATGCACAAGAACGAATGGGGCTTGACCGATCCTTCACAGCTACGCGTTGAGCCAGCTCTTATGTACGACGCCGTGCAACTTTTCGCGAGGGCTTTCAAACGTTTAAAGGACGCCATTCACGGCGACGTGAAACAACTATCCTGCAACGGTAGTTTGAGTTGGGAGCACGGCTACAGTTTGAGCAACTTTATGCGTCTCGTAAGTATGTCTGTTTACTTATACGGAATGTGCCAAAATGCCAAGAAATAATATTTTTGCTCGTAAAAACCTTAGTTTTCGAGAAAATTTAGCGTAATCCATCATGGACCAAAGAGTCATTCTTTACAAGACTGCGTAGAAAATTAGTTAACTATTGGGTTGTTCGGGAAGTAGTTTTTTTTGTTTTCTTGTGGTCACATGAAACGACTTTGGTTCCATCATGATAATATCAGACCTCGCGCAAGTTTAGTAACTCGTCAGAAGCTATTGCAGTTTGGATGGAATGTGCTACCACAACCACCATACTCCCCAGATCCGGCCAATCCGGATTATTACTTGTTTTGGTCTTTGAAAAATTTTTTAAACGATAAAACATTTACTTAAAGCGACGACGCACCTGCATCGGTTTTTTATAAATAAACGTCAAAAATTTTATGAGCATGTTGGACCAAAATGACCAGTACGCGATTCAATAAAATATTCATATATTATAAGAAAATTGTTCCTTTCCACGAAGGAGAAAAACGAAATTACTTTCCGAACAACCCGATACAATGTTTAATTACGAAGTATTATTTTGATGGAACGAAACTATAAAATAAATCATTGATATCGACGATCAAAGAAAGGAATATAGTATAACCTTTTTAGATGTTTCCGCCGACTATTTTCAGAGCGAAATGGAAGGTTTGACAGGTTTGATTAAGTTCGACACGGCTGGCTTTCGCAGCGATTTCCAGTTGGACGTGTTGCGCTTGGCGGAAGACGGTTTGAAGAAGATTGGAATGTGGAACAGCACCAACTCCATAGAATGGCAACCGGAAAGCGAACCCCCGAAGTCAGACATGGAGTTCAGTCTTCAGAATAAAACGTTCATCGTTTTGATAGCCATTGTACGTGAGCAATCGAAATTCAAAAATCGAAACGGAAAAGGAAATGGGAATTAAATTTATTCACTACGAACCACTATTAAAAAAGAGCAAAATTATTAAATGTTGGTTTCCTCGAAGCGTATTAAAACTAATTCGAAAGTTTGGGAGAAGAAATTTTTGTTATGTTTATGTTCTCTCGGAGCAGATTGCGCGGTTAAACAAAAATAACGCCACATATACACACAAATTAGAAATACTATTCACATAGTATAGTTTTAAATTTATCTTCAATTTTTTATATTGTAAGTATATATTTTTCTAGTTTTCGTTCTCAGGCCGAAGATAACTTGAATTTAAATCAAAAGGGGTTCAAATTAAATTTAAATTTAATTTTCTCGACCATTTGTGTTAAGACGAACAAAGAGTACAAATAGAAAATAGTTCCTTTCGATTGAACTAAAAACCGCAGTAGAAAATTGAATACAGCAAAGTTAGATTGCTACGAACATTGTACGTTGCAGAGCCACCCTTATGGCATGTTGAAGGAATCTGCGGACATGATGACCGGAAATGACCGTTACGAAGGATTTGGTATCGATATTATTCAAGAGCTCAGTAAAATGCTCGGCTTCAATTACACGTTCGAAGTGCAAGCGGATAATGTTTACGGGTCCTACTCGAAGTCTCTAAGAAGATGGACGGGGATGCTGGGAAAAATTATGGCCGACGTTAGTTTCGATGACGTTCACATTGAGGCATGCTGTAATTCAGCAGCGGAGAGGAATTAAAATACAATATCCGGTGAAATTATGTTGCAGGAGGCTCATCTAGCTATTACTGATTTAACCATAACGTCTGAACGGGAAGCAGCGGTGGATTTTACGATGCCCTTCATGAATTTAGGTATAACTTGTTAAAATCAACCTAGTACACCAAGTACCTATAACCGGAAATCATAACTATAATAAGATATTTATAATAATATAATAAGAGATTAAATTTTTTCTTTATATTAACTAACCATTACGAATTAGGACTATTTACAATGATATCCCAGGAACAAAAAATGTCCTTATCACTTTCACAATTAAGTTTTTAAAGGATTCAGGTTTATCATCATTGAATTGTAGTTTTAATTGCTAAAACAAAATATCGAATGAATTATCAACGTCCAAGATATACGATATGCGCGATACAATTGACAAGAAACGTAATAAAGACAAATTGTCGATGAAACAAAATGGTATCCTACGAAGAATACTCTGTATACTATCAACATCCACCATAAAATAATTAAACATTTAAATCTTTGGAATATCGAAATTAGTGATCGCAACTTCCGAAAATTTCCAACGTTTTAAAAACCTGAACTCATCGGATTCAAATTTTTCTGACAGATATTTGGATACATTGATTTGTTCGATTGTTCGCAGGAATAAGCATCTTATACCGAAAACCAACGAAAACACCACCCAGTTTGTTCTCTTTCTTGTCTCCATTCTCTGCTGGTGTCTGGTGGTATTTGATCGGATCCTACATATCCGTGTCCTTGCTACTATTCACGATAGGCAGGATATGCCCGGCTGAATGGAACAACCCCTATCCGTGTATAGAAGAGCCTGAGGAACTGGAGAATCAGTTCACTTTCAAGAATTCCCTCTGGTTCACAATCGGTAGTATTATGCAACAGGGTTCCGAGATCGCACCTATGTAAGTTTAATTCACTTGAATTTGAACTAAAATAATTATACATATACATGACTGCATGGTTAATTAATTGCACACATTTCTTAATTATCATTTCATTAAATTCCACTTTTTCTAAAGGCAAGATTAAGAAAGTTAACAAACAAACGACTATGGTGCACTTATTCTCGATTGTAATATTGATTGAATTTCCGTTAACAGAGGTCTTTCGACGCGAATGATGGCTACTTCCTGGTGGTTCTTTTGCTTAATCATGGTATCGTCTTATACAGCCAACTTGGCGGCGTTTTTGACCGTCGAAACGGTAGTGTCACCGTTCTCAAACGTTGAAGAATTAGCAAACAAGAAGACGATCAAATACGGTGCTAAAGTGGGCGGGTCTACCTTGATGTTCTTCAAAGTAAGTGTTTACTGCGAATATTTCATATTCTTTAGGCAATTAGTAAATATCGAACGTGAAGAAAGAATAATGCAGTTGTCAGTAGTAAACAATTTTACAGGATCAATACAGCACCCGATGTTCTTGTTTCGAATGTAAGAAATATTTACGAGTTTCAAGTAGTTGTTGATGTCGTACTACCCTACTGAGTTCAAGTTAAGCGAAAGACTGTTGATATAAATGCTTTATTTAACCCTGAATTATTAACCCCCGTCTGGTCATAAGGTATAATTATGAACAAGCCGCCTGAAAGATCATATGCACTAAATAAGATAACACGGTGTGGAGAATTAATTTTAATTTTTATACAAGATTGCTGCAGAGTGTAAAATAATAGCAGATTATAAAATTTAGAAATTTTGTACTTTCAGTTTGGATATTCTTAGTATTTTCGATGAGGACACGAATAGAGAGATCGAAATTTTTAAACCAGAATTGAGTGTTCCGCGGTATCTAATAAATTACTATTTTTTAATATTAAAAGAGTAACTTTTTCGTCGAAGAATATCTTATTGTTTCGTATATCGATTTTAAGGCGAATTAAATAATCCCATAATATTTATTATATAATCGTAGAAAATAGATCGTCCAGTACCTGCTTAATCACGAATAGATTATCAACCCCAATAGTTTACCATATCCCTGTCATATCAACGTAAATGTTGTAATGTATTTTAAACAATGCTTAAATATATGTATGATATGAAACCAATAATACAAGATCGAGATTAGTTTGGTTAAAAATGCTCCCAAAATTATCTTTTTAGCTTTTGGTTATCATTTTAACACGTTGACTGTCCTGTTAGTCACCCGTTGCGAACCCTAATAATTCCATCTCATTCAGAATGCTATAAATAAATAACACGTGCATATTTAGACTATCAAATATTTCAAATTACTTTTTCCATTAAAATTTTACGGATTATCCAATATTATCGTAGAGCATAGAAAACTGGCTTGTTTGTCCCACGTGTTAATACTTGCATATACATATGTATAGATTCCGTATCTGCATAATAAAGAATTAAACACAATGTCGCATTAATTAATCGCATAATCAGTCGAATACGTACATTGAAATTCAACTGTCTCCACCCCTATACTAATCAAATGTAACGACATAACAGGAAGCAATTAGTGTCGCTCGCTAGGCAAACAATACTTGAAGCCCTTCATTCTAATTCAGTTTTTTGAAAGAATTATGCCCATGTCAAGGAATCCAACTACACGGTCTACAAAGATATGTTCGATACGATGATGGCGAATGCGGAAGACGTATTGCCTCCGGACAACGACTCTGGCCTGAAGAAAGTGCTGAGGGAGGAATACGCGTTCCTAATGGAGTCCAGCTCGATAGAATATATCACCGAAAGACATTGCAACGTGACGCAGATCGGTGGGCTCCTCGATGCAAAAGGCTACGGTATCGCCATGAAAAAATGTAAGTTTCAGCCGAATACAGTATTGACTGCCATATTGTCATAGACTCCAGACCAGTGGTTCTACACTTTCTTTTTCTACAGACTCATTTTGAAAGCCTAATGATGCTCATGGACCCTTTCTATATAATGTTTATCAGAATAATGATCTTAAATATTAGCTAAATCAATGTTTTTTAACCGATTTCCTCCGTTTACTAGCGTAAGTCGTTATTTTCAATTTTGAAAATAGCGAATATCAGACAAATTTAAAAAGCAAGTACACTTTCCCTTCCTTCCCTGTGATCTCAACATTTTCTGCTAAATATTTAGCTATTAAAAGTTAGAAAATCTGATATCGTCTAAATTAATACTGGGGGAGTTCTGTAACGACGTAGTCAGCTTTTCTTTTTTTTTACTTATTCGCGAAACAGTAGTCATAATTGTAAATATTTTAGATTCGCCTTATCGTCACGCATTGAATACTGCTGTACTGAAGCTCCAGCAAAGTGGCTTGATCACGGAACTGAAGACGAAATGGTGGACGCAGAAGCGAGGAGGAGGAAAGTGTCGGGTATGCGTGCATGAATATTTAAGTAGAACCAGATGAAACGGAAATGCGTTAAATACATTACGCGTGAAATTCAATTCCAGTTATACAGTATTATTAATGAACGATACGGATACACCTTTTAAGATACGGTAATATCACGATCACAGAGTGATATCTTATAGTGAGATTATTAGTATAAGTCGTTTTTCGAGTTATGTATATAATATACAGAAACAAATAACCTACAGAAAACTAACATTTATCAATAGCCCTCTTTTAATATAATAGTTTACCTCCGCATTTACTCCTGAGATTTATCTGTTGCAAACAAGAATTCAATAATAATTTAAACTTGAATCTTCGGTTGACCCGTTTTAATTTAATAGTTATATATTAATTTTCATTTTTGCATATAATCATATGAAATTTTAATCTTTTTAACATCTATTATTTTACGTATATTAGTACACTAATACAGGGTGTTCGGCCATCCCTGGGAAAAATTTTTAATGAGTGATTCGAGGGGCCAATATAAGACGAAAATCAAGAATACCAATTTGTTGATTAAGGCTTCGTTAAAAAGTTATTAAAAAATTTAATTAAAAAATTTTACATCATTCTGAAAAAATTATTTTTGGTTACGGAGATCAATTGCAATCATTTTTGGTAAATACACATACCCCCGAAATCCTGCGCATTTTCGAGAAAAAAATTCAGTATGGCTGGAATTTTAAACGTTAATAACTTCTTAACGAAGCTTCCATCAACAAATTGGTATTCTTGATTTTCATCTTACTTTGGCCCCTAGAATCTTCCATTAAAATTTTTCCCAAGGATGGCCGAACACCCTGTACAGCCACGAAAGTATGCTTAAATTAGTAGTTAACGATAAGATATTTACTGTACTAAAATAAATAATTGTAATAGTGAAATGCACAAGCAAAATGTCATATATAAATAATTTGTAGGAGGACGGTGGTCAAAGTCAAGCGGAAGAATTGGATCTCGATAACGTGGGAGGTGTTTTCTTAGTACTGACTGTAGGCGTTGCCCTGTCCTTTTTCTACACTATAATAGAGCTGCTCTGGGATATTATCGCTACATCTAGACGTGAAAACGTAAGCACAATTAAGAGATTATTTTTAGGGTAATTAAAAAATTTCGTTGCATACATTATCTTCGACAGCGATATAGTAAAAAAATTGCCATTATTCTTAAAAACTAGCAGGTATTTCTCTAAGGTCATTGAAATTTTTGAGGCGTTAAAGTGGAATGTGATCCAAAATACGTTGGTAAACTTTACTCTGACTACAGCAACCAATGCTGCTACATAATATATTGCTATATTGCACATATAATTTTAATGCCAGTTAATTTTATGGACACGTAACATTCTGAATTATAAATAATTTTAAAAAATCTCTACATCCGATGTACACGAATTATGTGCCACTGAAATAAATTTAGGCGGCTCGAATTTTTAATTTCGCAACTCACGTTGGCAGACTGACTTTACACGAACGTTCAACTACGCAAACGATATAACACTTGCGACAATAAGAGAGACAGATCACACATATCCATTGAAATGTATCATTATTCCTCAGGTTTCGTTCAAAGAAGAACTGATAGCCGAGATAAAATTCATCGTCAAGTGCAACAGTTCACCAAAACCAGTGAGAAGAAGAAAGGGTTCGTCGAATAGAAGCAGGGAGGACAGCACCAGAGGCTGCACACCCCCTTATGGTTTTATACCTACAATTAGAACTACGAGCTCCGACGACAAATGAAGAATGACAGAGAAATTGAATACAATAAACAATATGATTGTTAAAAGTTTTTTATTTACAACCAGCAAGTATAACTTTAACCACTAGTTCCTCGACCGATTCGCAATTAATTTTAATTTAGTTCGACGCATGCCAACATGGCGTAACTAAATACATCACAAATCGTATACTGAATTTAATGCCCAAAGGATTCGTCCAAGCTACGGTCGTGGATCTGTCTCTCTTTTGTAACATAACTCGCTTTCGAATAAATTTACGAAGTCAATTTTATTAATTGAAAGTACTGCGCGATACAATTACATTGCATTAAATCTGTCGGACCTCACACTGATTCTTTTCATTCTTTTCATTGCAGTGGACAAAAGGTATTCTCCTATCCACCCTCTTTTAGCATTGTTCCTAAAATTTACTTAACTTCTACAGTAAAAAGTATATCGTAACTTCTTCAATAATATAAGAGTATTGATACTATTACAGTAATGTATTATTATTTTTATGGGGTTTGATTCTGTTGCATTATTTAGATACGACACTGACAAAATCTCTCTCGTACATCCTTATCTTGATACCCTATTTTATTAGTTAATTCAAACCTTGATAGATCAATGCTATTTTTATATTTAAGAATTGAAAAGCGTACGAGTTGCGAACGATTGTATTTGTATAAACGAATTATTACTCGAATTAAAATTTATTGAAAAAGAAACTAAAATTGAAATCAGATTATTAGGTCAGTAATGCCATTATCCTGAGTCTTTAAAGTTTCTGCCGTTGAAGTTTCAAGATTAGATGTTTGCGGCCAACAGACTTTCATGATTCGATCGTTACTTCAACCTGTTTAGGTACAGTTTATCAGCATTTAATTTTTTATCTTGTATAAGTACTATTTACGACGTCACCGTTAATTAATTTTCAATTAATTGCCAATAGATATCAGCTGCAAAAATAGAACAACGCGTTGTCTTATTGCTTGTATATTACATTAGACACTTTCGAGAATCCATGTTTTACTACCTAGTTTACGATGTCCAAATATAGCGATCAGTATTTCTTCTTTTTAGTTTTATAATTGATTTTGCTGATGTAAAACAATATAAATGATTACCTCCTTTTGGTTCGATACGTTCAAATAAGAAAAAAAGTACTGTTATCACATTTTAGTATTTTTTTCGAACGTAACCAAAAAATAAGAGTTTCATATTTCCGCGAGCGAAAAATGAAAATTAATCGTACGCTTAAAACAGGAAGATCGTCTACAACGAATGAAAAGATACGTCTTTGTTAACCATTTTGATTAGCGTACTCCGTTCCAAAATATTTTCACAACAAAACAGGCTGGAACTTTATATCACGAAGGAAATAGACAGAAAAGTAGTTTGGAGCATCCACGAGTATAGAAAATGTTTTTCATCGTTTTTTTTTATAGTAAATGGTAATCTTTTTGCATACACATCGAACTCAGTTAACTGGTTAAAGTGTTTAGATTTAAGAATTAGTATAAGCTAATTAGCAAGCCTGCCGTGTACAAATCTGTATATTCTGCCAAGCAAAGATTGAATAAGCAATTTCTGTTTCACTCCTTCTATCATTTTTTACTTTAGTCGTCGCTGCTTCTTTTTAAAATGCAAGTGACTGGCCATGTGGGTGGTCCAAATAGTCCGTAATAAATCTCTGGTGGTCTGATCGAATGGAAAGATGCTTTCGATCGCAGAAGGATGAGTTGTCACGCGTGTCTGTCCGCAGATGTCCCTGATTCGGGGTCCTCCTCTTTGCCAGACGTCATAAGTCGAGTCATGGTTCCATAGTTCGCGACGGGATGCTGGGAGAAACGAGGAACCCGCTGATCAGGAACGTCGATCATCTTTCCCCTCGATAGAATTCACTAAGAGCTTCGCAATATCCTAGAGCCTACTGTACGGTTCGTGTTGCGTTTCTCCTAATTTTACCTAACAGTGAATCCCACAAGTACCTATTCGTACCCTCATTGCTTGTGGGAGAAATTTGTTGAAATCGAACGATGCATATAAGATTTTGCAATAAACTTTTTGCTATCAATGAACACATATATAAAGTTTATTTATACCAAATTATAACAAAATTGATTAACTAACAACAAAAATATATTCATTTCACTCTACATAATACGTAATAACAGTCCACAAAAGTATAAAGATTTAATTAAATAAATGAAACAATTACAACCGCAGTAATCCAAGTTCATTTTTTCGAAAACCAATTCCTTAATGCCTCGTTCAAACAAATGTTATTACATAACATTCCAATTTATATCTTCGCGTAGAATCTCTATCCTAGTTTGTTATTAGAGACCCTGTATAATGAAATAAACTAAAAATATCGATGACTGGATTAACATAGAAATCGATTAATTGTGGAATTAATTGAACGACGTCTAATGATCAAAGAATGTAAGAATAGGAGAAAGAAGGAGGAAACAGGCGAGGATCGAGCCTCGTAAATTCTACTGGTGTTTCGAATTGAACTAGAAAATCGTCGTTTTGTTTTCGCGGCGGTGTAAAACAAGGTCGTAAAAGGAATTTCACGATCGCGTAGGCATTCTGGTTTTTCCGGTTTCGGCCTACCTCTGTCGCCTATCGACAATTTTCTATTCTACGAGTGGAAAAATCGGTATCGTTGATCGCGAAGGAACCCAGAGTTTCTTCCGATACGACTCGCGGATTTTCGCGGTCGTGTAGCGATCAGGGACGTTTCGCGCACTTAGTTTCTTCCTTTTCGATGATAAGACGACGAATCAGCCTAATTTGTTGGCCTGATAACACGAGTAAAGTGCTGCCATAGACGAGGTATATAATATACCTCGTCTGTGGTATGACTATACTCCGTAAATAATTGCAATTAATCCTCTTCGCTAAAAATAATTTTTTTAGAATTATTTGACATTTTTTTTTCGCGATAAAAAAATTTAGACACCCGCGCCGTCGATTTTTCTGAAAAATTCGTAATTTTTTTTGACGCCCTACAGAAAAGTTGTCTAATACGTTTTTGTAGGTACCCATGAGCTCTACGTCAGAAACAAGTTTCATTGAAATATATTCACTATTGTAGGAGTTATGTTCGTTTGAAAATTGAACCACTTTTATGGGGATTTTTTTCTAGAAAGTGGGTAGGATTTCGGGGGTATGTCTATTCACCGAAAATGATTGTAATTAATCCCCTTAGCTAAAAATAATTTTTTCAGAACGATTTGGAACTTTTTAATTTCGTTGAAAAATTAGGCACCTACCCGAATTTTTTTCTAGAAAGTCGGTAAGATTTCGAGGGTATGACCACAGACGAGGTATATGAATAGACCTTTCACCTAATGTAATTTTTCGGCCCGAGTTTCTGGGGTCCCGGGACCTCATTACCATTTTCATGTCACTCGCAACGTTATCAACAGATTTAGAAATTAACACAAGAGGAAGTGAGACAGAATATAAAATTACATAAATTTTATTATTTTTGAACGGAATGAAAGCTGTATGGTCCAAAATTGAGCATCAATCGATTAATTTCATTGGAATAACTAATCGATTGAGATTATTTAAAGATTTCAAAATTATTAAAATACGTAAGGATCTCATTGATAAATACACCGCAAATCCTCTATTTTTTATTTTAATTTGTAATATATTATTTATTTAAAAACTAACTCGGCAAAATCGTATTTGCGACTCGAAATCAGTGTTATTAGACCGCACACCAGGACGAAGAAGGTATGTATGTGGAACTATAAGAAGAACGCAGCCATTAGCTCATATTATTTGCTATGTAATCAATAATTACATTAATTACATAGTAAATAATAATCCCCAGGTCTCACCTCGTGGAGGTTGCTGCGACTGGAGACCCACCCTAGCCTCGCCCCAACCACCCTTCCTTTGGCGAGGAATTCGAATACCTATCTAAGGGAGAAGCTATCGAAAAGTTAGAAACGAGCTACAAAAGGAGAGTTCTTAAAAGAACTGCTCAATCAAGAGATGAAGAACCTAACAAAATGTCAATACATGTGAGATGATACACATGTTTTCTAAAAAAGAAATTGAAATGTGCCACTGCACGCACGAACTCTGACCGATGAAGAGATCAAAAACCTAACAAAATGATACATGTGAGATAAACCAGCACATGTTTTCTAGAAACGAAATTGGAATGTTCAACTGCACGTACGAATCCTGATTACTAAAGTATCAATGTGTACTTTATTCCTAATTGTTCCTTCTTAAATAAATACTTGCATTATGGCAGTGCCTAACAAGACACTTGTACAAAACGAAGAAAGGATCCTGAAGATCCAACCAGAAATGTGCAACTGCACGTATGGCACCTTGCATATTAGAATTCTAATATGTATCTTAATATTAATCATTCCCACTTAAATTTACGCACACTTTTCGGTTATACTTAATAAACGGCAGGAGAACGTTTTTTTATCTTATAATCTATATACATTTGTACTTATATTCTAACGCAATCTGTAGAAACATGAAGGAAATATTTTCTTCTTGGTGTCTTCATCAATCCCACGATGTTTTCCTGAAACAAAAGCTCATATCCAATAAAATATATAACTCGTATAAAACAAATAAATATGAAAAAATATTTCTTCTTGGTGTCTTGATTAATCCCACGATGTTTCTCTGAAACATAAATCAGACAATAAATAAAATTGTATGAAATATTTCTCTAAGAGCGATCAAGATGGAATCCGTGTACCATTTCCAATTCCATTCTTCGATGATTATATATTCTGTAACAAGAACTTGTTCAAAGGATTAAAAGCTGAAATGAAAGTGTATTAATGAACACAGAAGAAAATAATTATATACCGTCAAGATAAACTAATGGTAATCGATCATAGAAAAAGTGATATTATGAAATTAATATTTGAGCTTCCACGAGTAAAAATTGATATTAAAAAGTTTAAAAACATAAATATTACGTGAAATTGAATGAAAATTCGCCTCCGTGTTAAGATAAATACGAAATAGATTGAAAATTTTATTCATTTGTTACCCGTAGATTTTATTTTTCGTTTCCTTTATGAAATAAACAATTTTTCAAGACGTATACATTGCAATAATTATATTTTACTGTATTCAAAACTAAATTAGGTTCATACAGGAAAAGCAATACCTAACGAAAATGTCGATTCTACGCGGCAATTAACTCTCAATATGAAATATCGAATTGCAATTTGCATACCCTTTTGATGCAAGCATTCTATTTTCCATCGATTAAAACAATGATCGCGAACAAACTTTGATTTATACAAAGAATACAGAATATTTATAAAAAATTCGCTATTTA